AATCAATTTGCATCATTCCTACTGTCACCAGCCTTAAAGGCTAAGTAAGCAGCTTATTTCTCCCTCTGCAGACCTACTTTCAAAGCATTCCCAGCCTTCACCTCCTCCAGCTGGTTCTCCAGTCCTGGAGTAATGAGGGGCCCAGAACACCCTTGGCTCAGGTTGGGTCAAGAGACTGACTTGCTGAATGTTGCCCTCTTTCTGCCTGCCCCACCCTCATCCCATTCTGCAGGACCCTCTTGTTCTGGGGTGTCTCTGGCTTCTGGCTGTGGCATGGATTAGAACCTGCTGAAAGACAAAGGCTGCTGCCTCAGGCAGGACCCAGGGAATCTACAACCCTTTTGACGTTCTCAACGGGCTTCCCAGCCCTAAATTACCGCTTCCTCTCTCCTGTGTCACACTCCTGTGTCCTGGCCGTGTAGGGACTCTGAATGAAAGAACTGGGAGGTATCTGAAAGCTTGAGGCCAGCTCTCCCATTTCACCGAAGGGCAAACTGAGGCCCAGGAGAAGGAAAGACTTGCCCAAGTTCAAATAGGAGACAGAGCCCCATTATCATAGAAGAACTGGTGCGTGGGGAGGTGCATGCCCATGAGACTTTGGATAGCACTCCACCACCGAGCAGGGTGGGGGTGTGCGGGAAGGGATCTGGGATTTTTGAGCCCAGGTCGCTTCGCTGGGTCTTTCCTGGTCTCTGTGGCTGGGAGCCACGGTTCTTAGTTCCTGCGACCCTGAGCCTCCCAAGCATTTTATGAGAAAGGCAGCATTCGGGTTGGGGCAGTGCTTGAGGGTCCCCTCTCCATCCCCAGTCCTCTGCTTTATCAGCTGAGCAGCAACCCTCAACCCCTGTCTCTGTAGGCAGCTGCATCATTGTGGAGTGGTGAGGCTGAGGCCAGTGTCAGACTCCCCCAACCCCAGAGCAGGGGCCTCTGTGCTGGCCCCAGGGGCTGAGAGGTTGTGAGCCCACCTCCTGGACAGACACCTGCTCCCCACTATGCATGCCTGAGTTCTCACTTGGCAGGGGAGCCAAGAAGCCTTCCCTGGAGCCAATGACCTATGTGAGCACCAAGGTTAGATTTCACCTTGGGACCCGTGATGGGGAACTGGGTCAGTCCAGTTCCACCCTCCTCCCTTCCCTGGAACCCAGAGTCCAGCCAGCTTTGTAACTAAGCTGTGACCAGAAGGGTAGATGCTGTGTGTGTGTGTGTGTATGTACATGCATACACACCCAGGTGGGGGTTGGGAGGACTGACTTTAGGACCCCGAGATATCGAAATACCTAAGACTCAAATAAAATCCACCACAGTGAGAAGGGTACTCAGATTATCAGAAATCAGGTTCAGATAAGTCCCTGCACTTCCTTAGTCTCGGTTTTCATGTCTGCAAATTGGAAATAATTCCTAGGAGGAGAAACCTACGCAAAAGTAATCCCCAAGCTGGAAGTTGCTGCATGGATGCAACACGATGCGGTCCCACTGCTCCCTGCCCCCGCGGGAGGACTGAGGATGGGAAGAGAAAGGGCTCTGGCTCAGGAACACAAGGGCAGCCTCCACCGTTTTTTCACTGCGCCCCTTTCCTCTGCTGCTGGCCTCCTGAGCCCTTCACAAGCTCAGGCAGCAGGGGATGGGAGAGCCCCAAGTTATCAGAGAGAGAGATTTGCCCTAAGTTTCTCTCCTTCCCAGGCAGTGAGGCTGAGGATACAGCCCTCTCCCAGAGCTCCATCTGGAGTCCCTCATGGTGGCCCCCCAGCAGGATTGAGCACATTTAGCTTCCCATGTATTCTCCAGCTTCTCTTTGGGTGGTACGGGGCAAGGAAGATTTTCACAACATCCATGGGCCCACAGATTGTGGTTTGGGCATGCTGAGGTTGCGGGAGGGATCGCAGTCTCCGAAGCCTCCCCCTGAGCTAGGAACTGGCCGGTGACCACCTGCTGTGTGTCCAGCAAAGCTGATGGCACCTAGCACATGGCTATTCATCTGTTCTTGCCACTTGGCCTGGCCCCTGTGTGTGTCCCATCCAAAGACAGCAGGACCCCTGCAGGCTGCCCCACCAATGATTCTGTAGAGAGGTGAAGGGCAGCCTCTTCCAGCATCCAGCTCCCTTTGCTCTGCCTCCCTCAACTGGGTGGTGACTGAGAATCAGAGGGAGAGGATTTAGAGCGTCTCTTCCTGCTCTCCATCTGGCAGATGAAGAAACTACCTATCCAGAGATGTGAAGGGACATGCTCTAGGTCACACAGCAGGCCCGTGTCTGGGCAGGTTCCAACCTGAAGTCCCTGGGCCACTTGTGCTGCCCCAGGCACAGATCGCCTGCTTCCTCCACCTCCCTTGACCCCAAGCTTGAACTTGCAGCAAGATCCCAACATGAGATGCTGGGGGAATTGTTTTACAGATTTGTTAATCACATCTCAGAATGAATAGGGCCCTGAGCTCATCATCCAGGAAGAAATCCAATTTGGCTTTTATGGCCATACTTACTTGTCATATATCTTTGAAATTTTGTTATTTTCTATGAAGCTGGTGGTGGAGGGGCTGCGGTTCTGGACTGGCTGCTGAGCCCAGAGGTTCATCTGCACTTGGCAGCTGTGGTCTCCAGCCTCACACACCCAGGACTTGGGACAGAGGGTGGGAGTGTTGGCCAAGGCCTGCGGTGAGGGTTTCCAGGAACCTCCTGACCCTTCAGGCCAGGGCATCTGGGAGTCTTGTCAGAGTTCACAGGTTCTATAAGTTGCTTTAATTAAGCTTTCGTTGTTTTCTCCCCAGTGATGCCAGGGCTGCTTTGTGGGCTTCAGGATCCAGAGCTGATGGGTTTTGATGGCGAGGCCTGAGTTGTGCAGGGAGGGGCAGCAGGTGGGGAGAAGGGGCCGCAGAGGGTCAGTCGGTGGAATTCCTTTTGGCAGCGGGGAACTGTGGCTTAAAGGATAGGCTGTGATGTTGCCTCCAGAGGCTCCAATCCAACCCAGCTCTGCAGCAACCTTGTAGGGCGGGGGTTGGATCAGACATGATATAAATAAATAAAGCACCACCCGTGTGCCAGACACACTGTAGTGCTCAGTGAACGGTCAACTCCCCACCCAGTCCCCTTGTAAGGGGCCTGGCGGATAGTAAGCCCTTGGACTTCTATTTCCTTCTACTGTCTGGCTCTACCAAGAAGAGTTGTTTGGCTGATCTGGGTTTGGTGTGTGTGTCCCCATCTGGCTGGCCCAAATGCCATCATTTCTTCCCTCCCCATGGCTGCAGGAAAAGACACTCTGAGGAGTGAGCCTTGGCTAGTGATACAACAGCCTGAGTCCCTTCTCCCAATCCCCAGGGCCACCTGTGAGCCATGGGGGGTGGGGGCAGGGATGCCAAAAGGCAGATCAGGTGTGGAGGGAGCCACTGGAAACGGGAAAATGAGCAGGGCAGCAAGGGCTTTCCAAGAATGCTCCTGGACCACCTGTATCAGAATCACCTGGGGAGGTGTTTAAATACAGATTCCATGTTGGGCACGTTGGCTGACACCTGTATTCCCAACACTTTGTAAGATCGGGGCAGAAAGATTGCTTGAGCTTGAGGTCAGCCTAGGCAACCTAGCAAAATCCATTTCTACAGAAAAGATTTTATAAAAGCCAGCCAGGTGTGGTGGCATGTGCCTGTAATCTCAGCTACTCGGAAGGCTGAGGTGGGAGGACCACTTGAGCCCGGGAGGTCGAGGCTGCACTGAGCTGTGATAGTGTCGCTGGACTCCAGCCTGGGAATCAGAGTGAGGCCTCGTCTCAAAACAGACCAAAGGAAACAAAGCCCAGCTTCCTGGACCCCACCTCCTCCGAATCTGACCTGGTATCACCCTAGAATCTGCACTTTAACAAGTACGCCGAGTCACTCTGATTCACATTGAAGTCTGAGGATCTTTGCAGCAGAGAATAAAGGAGTCTGCTCCAGTTGACTTGTGGACCTGCCTACAGCAGCGCCAGACCTTATGATGAACTGAGAAGTTCATAATAATCACACCAGCTGCTGTGGTTCAGCAGGGGAGCAGTGTCCCCATCCCCATGACATATTTCCCTCTTGGTGTTAGGGGGTCCAGTTCTGTCCCACTGAGCCCACCAAAGCGGGGACACAGAACAGGGAAAGTGATAGTGGCTGTTGTACCCGTCAATGCTGGATCCCTCTGGTGTTGGCTGGGACGTTTCTTTCGTTGATAGATGGACCTGGGGAAAGCTTGCTTGCCTGATAAATATTGAGCGATTGGGTTTATGAGTCAGCACCCACAATTTCCTCACCAGCTGTCTTGTCAGCCCAGGGAGGCCAGTCATGTTTCATCCACTCCATCTGTGCAGCCTGACCTTCTTTGAGAATTGGGAGGCTTGGACAGGCTCGCCACAGAGTCCCACTTGACTCCCCTCCCCACCCCGACCTGAGATCCTAATAAACCCAGGTTTTCTTTGCAAACAAGAATGGTCATTTGTGCCTTTCTGAATTTCCTGCTGGCAAATTGAGTAAACAAAGATGTGTTTCTTAGGGGGCTGCAGGGGTGATGGGGAGTGGGGACTGCAGGGGTGATGGGGAGTGGGGGCTGCAGGGGTAATGGGGAGTGGGGGCTGCAGGGGTGATGGGGAGTGGGGGCTGCAGGGGTGATGGGGAGTGGTGGCTGCAGGGGTGATGAGTGGGGGTAGGCGCCTACTTCAGCTGCAGCCGCAAAGCCAGGCTTCCCCGGGGCTGGCGTAGGGGACACAGGGTGACAGATTTCAGGTCTTCTTGCTGGGGAAAGAGCTCAGTCAAGTGTGGAAAGTCACTCAGCCACACCCTTTCCTCTATGGATCCAGAAGGCATTTCCGGGCTCTGTTGCCATTTTTATTTGAGATTCTAGGTAGGACTTGGGACTTCTTCAGAGAAGACTCTGGGAGGGCCCTAGGATCAAGCTGCTAGGATGGGGCTCCCTACTTCACTCCTACGTTCTCTCTGGGTTGATCCATGGCCCCACTGTATTAGGCTTCTCCAGAGAAAAAGAACCAACCGGAGATTTATAGATGCCAGAAAAAGATTTATTAGAAGGAATTGACTTATGTGATGATAGAGGCTGAGAAGCCGCAAGATCTGCAGGCAGCAAGCTGGAGACCCAGGAGAGCTGACAGTATAGCTGCTGCTGGAGACTGAAGGCCTGAGGACCAGGAGGGACGATGTTGTAAGTTCTAGTTTGAAAGTTGGCAGGCTGAAGACAGAAGAAGAAGAAATATTTCAGCTCGAGTCCAAAGGCCAGAAAAGACCAATGTTGTCTGGGAACGGTGGCTCCCACCTGTAATCCCAGCACTTTGGGAGGCCAAGGTGGGTGGTTCATGAGGTTGGCAGTTCGAGACCAGTCTGGCCAACATGGTGAAATCCCGTTCTTACTAAAAATACAAAACATTATATTTTTTTTGTATTTGCATGCGCCTATAGTTCCAGCTGCTTGGGAGGCTGAGGCAGGAGAATTGCTTGAACTTGGGAGGCAGAGGTTGAAGTGAGCCGAGATTGTGCCACCGCACTCCAGTCTCAGCAACAGAGGAAGACTCCCATCTCAAAAAAAACCCAAACTCATCTGGAAACTCTAATAAATAGCTTTTCTGAGAAAAAAAAGTCACAAAATCAACTGGTCCTATCATACCTTTCCTCTGCCTTCATTTTCCTAGTACAAAGAAAACTTTTTTTTTTTTTTTTTTTTTTTTGAGATGGAGTTTTGCTGTTGTTACCCAGACTGGAGTGTAATGGCACGATCTCAGCTCACTGCAACCTCGGCCTTCCAAGTTCAAGGAATTCTCCTGCCTCAGCCTCCTGAGTAGCTGGGACTACAGGCGTGCACCACCATGCCCAGCTAATTTTTGTATTTTTAGTAGAGACAGTGTTTCACTTTGTTGACCAGGATGGTCTCGATCTCTTGACCTCGTGATCCACCCGCCTCGGCCTCCCAAAGTGCTGGGATTACAGGCGTGAGCCACTGCGCCCGGCCCAAAGAAAACATTTTTAAAGCCCAACAATAAATTAGAAAAAAAGTGAACAGTAAAAAATAAAAAAATGAAAAAGAGTAAAAGGCACTAAAAGAGAAGGAGAAATGAAGAAAAGAAATGACAAGAATATAAAATGATCCAGAGAGGTATCATATATATGACCAAAAATCAAGAGGCAGTAGAAAATATATTCGTCATGATGGCTATCAGTGGTCTCGGGGTGATATTAGCCATCCCAATTGATATATTTTCTTCAATGATATCAAATAAGTATCAGTGCCCTTTACAGCCCAACTTTTTTTTTGAGATGAAGTGTCTCTGTCACCTGGCTGGAGCGCAGTGGCGCAATCTTGTCTCACTCCAACCTCCGCCTCCTGGGTTCAAGTGATTCTCCTGCCTCAGCCTTCCGAGTAGCTGGGACTACAGGCGCACACTACCATGCCCTGTGAATTTTTGTATTTTCAGTACAGACAGGGTATAGCCTTACTTGTATAATAGAACAGCCTTTAACAGGACATGGATCACAAAAGGAAGGGAACCCATATCGTGTGCTGACTATATGCAAGGCATTGTTTTAGACAGCAAAGCTGTCTTCTCATTTAATCTCTGCAATTGCTGTGTGAAACAGGCACTATTCCTGACTTAAGATTTTGACACCGAGGCTCAGAGCAATTTATTAAACAAATGACAACGTGGGTGGCCCCAGTTGTTGTCCGTTTTTTATCCCCTGTTCAGTATCATAAGCATCTACACTTGATGAAGAAAAGGCATAAAAAGAATACAACAGTACAAGAAATAAAAATTTCAACAAAGAACAAAAGGAAAAAATAGCCATTCTCTTACCTCTCTGGATGGGCATGGAACTTCACCAGCCTGCTAGAGAGCTGTCTCTTTGCATCTAAGTCCTCACTGAGCTGACTCTGTTCATCTACTAATCTTTCTAGCATCAGCAGCAACTGAGAAAAGAAGAAAGCAGCAGCAATACACAAATGGCACAGTGAGACATGAAGCCACAGTTAATCCTGAGAAACAAGAAAATGCATTAGGACGTACTATGACTTAAAAAGCCCGCTACCTTAGTACTTAAGCTTTTGACAGTATTTATAGTTTTCCCAAGAAGCAAGAAAATGTATTAGCATGTATTATGACTTGAAAAGTCTGCTATCTTAGTATTTATGCTTTTCATAGTATTTTATAGTTTTCAAATCAATGTCATATTATTTTTTTAATCTTTAAAACCCTGTGAGGTGGAATTCAAACATGGGAGCAACAAGAAGAAAAAGGAGAAGCTAGAAGCACAGGAAAGCAGCTAAGAGAAAGGAGTAAAGGAAAATGGGACAGGGAAGAGGGAAGCATATATAATAGGAGTTACCAGTATTCTTCATTCATTCAATCAATATTTATTGAGCACCTTCTATGGGAAAGACTCCATTCCAGGTTCGAAGGGAAAGCCTACTAACTAGTGGAGGAAGAAGACATTCATTAGTCATAGACGTGTGCTATTATGAGTCTACTAGCGTCATAAAGATAATGAGCTGTGATCATGTATAACCAACAGAGAGCTGTTTTAGGTAGAGTTGAAAGCCTGAATGCAGTGGGGTGAGTAGTCAGTGAGAGAGATGCTAATGGAGACAGGGAGTACAGGCAAGTAAGTCTTTTGGAAAAGAAAGGTTAAACGGGGTGTAGCTCCCAAGATCGCTGGGGCAAAGGCAGGGGTTTCTCTTTAAACTGGGAGAGATGTGAACATGGTTAAATGCAGACAGAGGAGAAAGATTCAGTTGAGAGAGAGACGACTTATGTATGAGTGTGAGGGGTAACTATTATTATGTGTCTAAAAGAACTGCTGCTCTTTACAGAACCGCACATCAGAAAGAGGCATCTATAGCTGCTACCGACCAAAGTAGGAAACTTCAGAGCACAGTTTCTCCATGAAACACCATTTATGAAAAACCACTACCATGGTTTAATTCACAGTAGAAAAACAAAGTTTGTGCCGGGTGTGGTGATATGCACCTGCAGCTCCAGCTACTCAGGAGGCTGAGGCAGGAAGATGCCTTGAGCCCCAGAGTTTGAGGCTGCAGTCAGCCATGGTGGTACCACTGCACTCAAGCTTGGGTGACACAGTGAGACTCCATAAATATATATATATTTAGATGGGGGAAGGGGAAGGGAGGGGAGAAGGGAGGGGGGGAGGGGAGGGGGAGGACAGGGAGAAGAGGGGAGGGGAGGAGGAGGAAAAGGGGAAGGGTTGGGAAGGGGGGAGGGGAGGGGAGGGGGAGGAAAGGGGTAGAGGGAGGGAGAAGAGGGAGAGGGAGAGAGAGAGAGAGAGAGAGAGAGAGAAAGGGGACAGCAGGGGGAGAGAGTGGGGGAGGGAGGGAGGGAAGGGGAGAAAGTGTCTGTATTCCAATGACTTACCCGTTGTCTTTGGTTTCCTCAAATTTCTTGACCCTGGGATTCTACTGAAGCAACTTTTTCCCAAAGAAGTAATATTTCCTGGGTCAGGCGTTCCACAGGTGGTATGTCTTCAGGATAATCAGTTGTATTTGCAGGTCCTAGAAGTCAAAAAGTAACTGTAAACATGAAAATAGCAATAAAAGTATTATTCAGTCGATGAGCACAGAAACAAATGTGCTTAAAACAGTCTGCCTAGACTTTCAAGTGAGATATTGATAAGCACTGGGCAAGGGATTCAATGTGTGCAAATACTGTCTGAAGATGCCCTACAGATAATTTGAGATGTGAACATTTCCAATGGTCTGTAAAAAGTTTGGAAGGTTATGAGGTCTTTAATTTGTACTTTCCTGGTCAGAGGCTCCATATCAGCAGCCTACACATGCAGCTCTTCTTCCTGAACCTGCAGCTCTCGTTCAGCTCTCCTTCCCACACCTGCAGCTCTTCTCGCACATGCAGCTCTCCTTCCCGCACCTGCAGCTCTCCTTCCCGCACCTGCACTCTCCTTCCCGCACCTGCACTCTCCTTCCCGCACCTGCACTCTCCTTCCCGCACCTGCAGCTCTCCTTCCCGCACCTGCAGCTCTCCTTCCCGCACCTGCACTCTCCTTCCCGCACCTGCAGCTCTCCTTCCCGCACCTGCAGCTCTCCTTCCCGCACCTGCAGCTCTCCTTCCCGCACCTGCAGCTCTCCTTCCCGCACCTGCAGCTCTCCTTCCCGCACCTGCAGCTCTCCTTCCCGCACCTGCAGCTCTCCTTCCCGCACCTTCACTCTCCTTTCCGCACCTGCACTCTCCTTCCCGCACCTGCAGCTCCCCTTCCCGCACCTGCACTCTCCTTCCCGCACCTGCACTCTCCTTCCCGCACCTGCAGCTCTTCTTCTTGCACAGCCATCATGGACTGTAGAGCACAAAGTTCCAACTGTGAATAGAGGAAACAATATCTGCCACATTTATATTTTAACACGGAGGCAAATGCTTTTGCATATCATATCACTATCAGCCAGTAATGCAAGAGAAAATGAGACAAGAACAGGGTTCTACAGGATCAAATCAAAAAATCCATGCAGTATACTAACAAACAATATTTTATGGGAAGATGTAACAGTCGTTTTTAATGACATCTTCCACCATAACTGGCACCGTAAAACACATCAAATGTGTTTAACAAGCTTATTATGATACTGAAAAAGAATGGTGACCATTAGCAGAAGCAAGAAGAGATGAAGTTTTTATGTAAGTACTTCAGCTAATAGATGAAAAGATGATAGCATTAGGACATCTCCATTTTGAAACCCTTAATGAATTAATGGATTAGGCATCAAACCACAAAAGCTGCTAACATCACAAGAGATCAAACATTATCTGCCTCCAGATGGAAGAACATGCCACCACCTCTGAAGGAATCCTGCCAAAAGCTAGCGCTACATGCCCTAATCTTTCAGTGTTCTCAACAGGAAAGGACAAATACTTTGTTATCACAAAGTTCACTATGACTCATCATAGGCTGGGTGCCATGGCTCACGCCTGTAATCCAAGCACTTTGGAAAGACCAGGCAGGCGGATCATGAGGTCTGGAGTTCGAGACCAGCCTGACTCAAATGGTGAAACCCTATCTCTATTAAAGATACAAAGATTAGCGAGGCATGGTGGTGAATGGCAGTAATCCCAGCTACTCAGGAGGCTGAGGCAGGAGAATCGCTTGAACCTAGGAAATGGAGGTTGCAGTGAGTGGAGATCATGCCACTGCACTCTAGCCTGGGAGACAGAGCAAGACTCTGACTTAAAAAAACAACAAAAAAAAATCATGATAACGATAGCTGCTAATATTTACTATGCCATGGGCTCTCTAACAAATGCTTTGTACATAGTTAATTCTTTTAACAAACCTAGGGCTCTGGTTCTTGCCTACTTTCCCCACTTGAATATCTGTGATTTTACTCCTCACTCATTACTCTGTGGGTACACTAGACTTTTTCTGTTCTAGGAACTCCAGACATTCCCTTAACTCAAGCCCTTTACAACTACTACTCCCTTTGCCTGAAGTATCTTTCCCAGGGCTGTCTCTGATGATCAGGTCCCAGCTTATATGACATATACTCAGAGAAGCCTTCTTTAACCACCCTATTTAAGATGGTCTCCATCATGTTACTTTCTATCATTTCCCTCATATCATTTACTATCATCTATAATCATATCTATTTGTTTATTGTATCTCCCCAGTGGAAATTACACAGAGCCAGAGACCTTGCTGATTTCATTCACTACCTCATCCCCTAGCCAAACTCGAGAGAAGGTTCTCATATAGCTAAGGAATGAAGGAGTGAATCCTCACAACCATCCTACAAGATAACTCCTCTCTGATCTATACGTAAGGTGACTTCTACTCTTCAATTTACAGACAAGGTGATTGAGTCAGAGAAACTAAGGAACTTGTTCAAAAATCACAGGGCTAGTGGTATATCTAGAATGTGATTTCAGGGAGGCTGATTCAAAGCCACTAGGCTATCACGTCTTCTCAGTAGATGCCACATATCCATACAGTCTTTATGGTAACGGCAAGTTATTTTAAATTAACCCTCTAGAGCTAGTTAGCAATAGCTAAGTATCAGCCCCTCAAAATACCCATTCATAGGCATTAGAATTTCATGATCCTGAAAACAGGACAGAACCAAAAAGTAACATTACTCTGGATTTGGTATATCCAGAGTGAGAAAAAAAAACAAGAGCACGTGGAAACTAAAATATCTGACATGAATAAAAGTTTCGCTCTTGTTTACCCAGGCTGGAGTGCAATGGCGCAATCTCGGCTCACCACAACCTCCACCTCCTAAGTTCAGGCAATTCTCTGCCTCAGCCTCCTGAGTAGCTGGGATTACAGGCACGCACCACTATGCCCAGCTAATTTTTTGTATTTTCAGTAGAGAAGGGGTTTCACCACGTTGACCAGGATGGTCTCGATCTCTTGACCTCGTGATCCACCCGCCTCGGCCTCCCAAAGTGCTGGGATTACAGGCATGAGCCACCGCCCCCGGAAAAAAACTGGTATTTCTTAAATGCCACACATTCTCATATCCTAAAAACTAATTGAGTCAAAAACATGAGTCTTTTTGTAAGCAGAAATATGGTAATAAAATCAAAAGATAAAATATATTAATTCCATCACTAATACAAACACAGGTTTCCATATTACAGACCTACCTATGGCAAACGGTAGTAAAAAAAAAAATGAAAGAAGCTATTTAGACTAGCTTGCTAAAGATAATTTAGGAAGCCACGACACCAACTGTCCTTCTAAAAGAGATGCCAGAGTAACAAACCACCTTTTAGTGTTAGTCTGTAACTGTGCTGTGTGCCTCATATTTCTTCAACATCACCGTTGAATATGCAACTAGCTGTGTATATATGTAGGAAATACATATTTCCTGTCTATATTTAATTCTTTTAACAAGCCTAGTGCTCTGGTTCCTCCCTAACTTTTCCCACTTTGATATCAGCCATTTTACTCCTCATTCATGACTCTCATGACTCTGTAGGTACACCAGACTTTTTCCATTCTAGGAACAGAAAAAGAAAATATATATAGGAAAGGCAGAGGGGTGTGAATCTCTAAAATAATTGATGAAAAGTCTATGCTCAAGAAAGGTAAAGAATAAGGTGGGAAAAATGAATCAGGAAGTATCTGAAGCCACAGAAGACTGGAGTTTGAATCAAAGCTTTGGCATTTATTAGTTACATGACGATTCTCCACTCTCATTCTAAAGGAGAAATCAGTGTTTCAGCTTCTTCATCTATAATAATTGGGCCGACACCATTTACTTCGTGTACAGTTGTAAGCATTAGGGCTAATTTAAATACCTAGCACAGGCCGGGCGCCGTGGCCCACGCCTGTAATCCCAGCACTTTGGGAGGCCGAGGCGGGTGGATCACGAGGTCAAGAGATCGAGACCATCCTGGCCATGGTGAAACCCCATGTCTACTAGAAATACAAAAATTAGCCAGGCATGGTGGCACGCACCTGTGGTCCCAGCTACTGGGGAGGCTGAGGTGGAAGAATCGCTTGAACTCAGGTGGAGGTTGCAGTGAGCCGAGATTGCGCCACTGCACTCCAGCCTGGCGACAGAATAAGACTCCGTCTCAAAAAACCAATCAATCAATCAATACCTAGCACAGTACATTGCATATGAATACTCAGTAAACACTGACTATACGAAAGTTTCTTGTTGCATGTTTCTAAAACTAATTTCATGGGTCTAATGTCATAACTCTAAGCAGCAATCACACGATACTTCCCTATTTACACTAGCGCTTTGCTATTGTTACTATTTTTTTGGAGGCGGAGTTTTGCTCATTTCCTAGGTTGGAGTCTGATGTCACGATCTCAACTCACTGCAACCTCTGCCTCCCGGGTTCAAGCGATTCTCCTGCCTCAGCCTCCCGAGTAGCTGGGATTATAGGCACCCACCACCACACCTGGCTGATTTTTGTATTTTTAGTAGCAACAGGATTTCGCCATATTGGCCAGGCTGGTCTCCAACTCCTGACCTCAAGATCAGGAGTTGATCAGCCTGCCTCAGCCTCCCAAAGTGCTAGGATTACAGGGGTGAGCCACCGTGCCCGGCCTTTAGTTGTTTTATTCCAATTAGCAATGGAATTGTGTTTTTCCAGCACTGAGTAAGTTTTAATAGCCCCAATATAAAAACAGGAGCATCTTGCTATAATAATGTATATGAAAAATAACGTACATTTTTCCCCAAAAAGAAAAAAGTCATACCTGGCATTTGGACTCAGATCTTCTACTTGGAGAACTAAACACTTTTAAATATAAACTATTTTGAAGGAAAAATAATAGGGATTTAAAAATTAAGACTTGACTAGAAAACTCACCTTACTTTTTAGACATAAATTCAAGTTTCTCTTTGGCATTACTCAGTTCTTTTTCCAGCCCTGCCATTGTGTTCAAGTCTCCTAAAATGAAAATAGAGTGCTAGTTTTAATTGCTATTAACATAATGTGATATCGACTGCCTCCTTTGAGTCATTTACTGAGGACACATTCCAATAATAAGAAAAAAATAAAACATATACGCAGGTTGTTCTTTGTAGCATTATTTATAACAGCAAAACACTGCAATCATCCTGCATGCTATCAAGAAAAGACTGAATGAAATCGAGTATATTCACAGATGGAACTACATACTGCTATAAAAAGGGAATAAGAACGATCTTTATGAACTTAAATGGAATGGTTTAGAAATCCTGAGAATATGTTAAGGAAAACAATCTACGTGCTCAAGAATACATCTAAGGTAGTAGGTTTTACATTAGGAAAAGGGGGAATAAGAATATACATATATACATTACATATACACAGATGATTCATTTGCTGATTTCTGAAAAAAAATATAGAGGAAGAATAACCCAGAAATGAAACTGATTACCTTCAGGAGATGAATGGAAACAGGAATGAAGGGATAGGGAAAGAGATGAAACATCTGAGTATATCATTTTATATACTGGAGTTTTGAACTGTGTTAAGGTTTAATTCTTAATATGTAAGTCAGCTTGACAAAGGGAGATAAAAAACCTAAAGTTAAATCCTAATAGAAATAAATGAATCTATGTAGTAAAAAAATGATAAAACCACCCAGAATAAGACAAATTAATCCAAATAATTTTTGAACTCACTAACGGAACACCGTCAGTCCAAAATACCCCAAGGAGAAAAAGAATTACAAAAATACCTTCAGGATAAAAAGAATTACAAAAAAATGTAAACATCACATAATACATTTACTGTTGATACTGGTATTCATGTAGTAATTCAGAAACTACTTTTGTATATTATAGTATTATGCAAATGTGTAAATCCTTTGAAATATATTGATGTTATAAATAACCGGAGCTCTCAAGCAGATACAAATATGAAATGAAGGAAAAAAGAACCATAATGTTAAAGTTGAATTACAGAAATCAGTATCAAATCTTCATATGTATACAAATACATACATTATACTTAAAAATATCCACTGCTAGCTCTGTTCACTTAAAACGGCCTAGAAGCAAAAGGTATTCACGTAGCAATAAAGACATCTGATGCCCAGATCACAGTTTTTCAATGCCATTATCCACCAAAAGGAACCAGGGAGCTCTTTAGGATAATGGCTGATTCTGGGACTGAGACAGGTAAGTAAAAGGTAGTCATAGAACATCTTATTGTACCAGAAACCAGGAAAGTGCAAAAAACAAAAAACCAACCAACCAAAAAAACTGGTGGGGATATGGCAAAGGGTCGGAGAAACAGCTCGATGAGGTTCCCACTGACCGAATCTGGGTTAATTTGAGGAGTTAAGGAAATCATGACCAAAATCAATAATATAATGATTTTTTAAAAACCATATAGATAAAAACAAATGGGGTACAGAGATAGGGAAAGGACAGCTCTTCTTTATAAAATAATATCCACAAGAAATAAAAAAATTTTAGAAACAGAAAAATCTTAATTTTTTTTTTTTTAAGACCAAGTCTCATTCTGTCACCAAGCCTGGTGTGCAGTGGGGCACTCTTTCTGCCTCCCGGATTCAAGTGGTTCTCCTGCCACAGTCTCCTGCATAGCTGGGATTGCAGGCATGTGCCACCACGCCCGACTAATCTTTGTGTTTTTAGTAGAGACTTAGTTTCATCATATTGGCCGGGCTGGCCTCGAACTCCTGAGCTCAAGTGATCCACTCTCCTGGGCCTCCCAAACTGCTGGGATTAAAGGCATGAGCCACCGTGCCCGGTCCTGAAAATCACTATTTTAAAGCTACCAACGTAAGAGTTGGTTCAAGCAAGGCTCAAATGATATTACAGCCAGAGTGAATGACTGTTGGAAAACAGAACTGTCAACATCTCCAATTCAGCCAGCAGATGATTTACATATAAAGGGGAAAATGAACCTTTTACAATGGAGAGATTTGGCAGCTACAATCTTAACCAAATGACTAAATTTAATATCACCAAGGATGATACAAACTGATTATAATGAACTGATGTGATGCACTAAGAAAGATGTCAGCCAGGCTCACACCTGTAATCCCAGCACTTTGGGAGGCTGAGGCAGGTGGATCATTTGAGGCTAGGAGTTCCAGACAAGCCTGGCCAGGATGGTGAAACCCCATCTCTAAAAAAACAAAACAAAACAAACAAACTAGCAAGAATGGTGACGTATGCCTGTAGTTCTAGCTCCACTTTCGGAGGCTGAGTTGGGAAGATCGCTTGAGCTGAGATGGTGCCACTGCAGTCCAGCCTGGGCAATGACAGATTCTGTTACAAAAAAAAACGAATATGAAGAGAAGAAAAGAAATGGGGTCGGGTGGGGTGAAATGGGGAGGGGAGGGGAAATTCATCCATATGGTATTCCTGCCAAAAATGTTTAACTGGAATCTAACCACGAGAAAACAATCGGCTAAACTGAGGAGTATTCACAGTCCTGAATTCTTCAAAAACGCCAGTCTCGCTAAAAAGAAATAAAAGCTAAACAATTGTTCTAGATTACAGACTAAGAGACATGACAACTAAGCACAATACATAACCCCTGGGTTGGGGGGAACCAAGGTAGCTATACGTAACATTATTGGGACAATAGGAACTCTGAATGTGGACTGCGTCTTAGATACTAAGCCTCTACCAAGGTTAAATTTTCTGAGTATAATAATTATATTGTGGCTATGTAGGAGAATGCCCTTGTTTTTAGGAAATACTGATGTATGCAGTATAAAGTGTCATGACTTCTGTAAGAAAGTCTGCAATGGTTCAGAAAATACATTACATCCACATATGTGTGTGTACATACAAAGAAATAAGGCAAATGTGGCAGAATGTTTATAACTGGTCTGAACAAAAATGTATATGAGTATTCACTATACTATTCTTGCCCCTTTTCTATAGGTTTGAAATTTCCAAAATACAAAATTTAGAGAAAAGCACACTTTTTTAAAAAGGCAAATAAAGAATAAAACAAATCCAACAATATTTTTCTCTTTGATGGGTACAAAGTTTTCAAAATAGAGAATGACTACACTTAAGACTTTTCTAAACCATCCCCTGAATGGGGCTAGGCCTGGCAAGTAACTCAATGTACACCGCCTACCCTTCCTCCTAACAGTTTAACGCAGGTGACGTCAAGTTACAGCGAGTGGCCCCAGACTTGATAGATACCCAGGAAAAGCTGTCAGTACATGGCCCTGTTGTGCAGGATTGGAACCACTACCTCCTGCATTTCTGCATCCCTGCAAAACTATCTGAAAAGGAGAATGAGGACAGACTTTCTCTGGGCCAAATTGTGACCCCAAAGCAATAACCTCAATGCAACATAAGGGAAAAATAGCTCTTCAACCTTTCAGAGGAAATCCAAATTTATTTTTTCCATTAAGGTAGGAAGAGAAAAGTCTCAGCTAAACCTATTAATACAAGGAATAATAGAAAACAAAGTCCCTGAATGAAAACAAATTTCATACTCACCTAATGCGGATCTGGGTATGCTGGCATCTTCTTTGGCAGTCAATAAAGGACTATCATCTATGGAAGGTATCTGCACTGGACCCTAAAAAACTGAGGGACTTAGGAAGATGCAGGAACGATGATCACAATGACAGCACTGAGAATATTCTCACAATTTGGTATTAAAATTATCAAACTTACACCTCAAATGTAAAAAGGAAACACATTCCACATGAATTATCTAAGTCTATAGTTCTTACTTGATCAGTCTGTTCTCCAAGAGGGGGGCCAATGGAGGGAATTTCAGCTCGTTGGTTAGAGATGGGTGCTTGGAACATCATGGAGTCTCTCCCTTCCAAATACTGGCACAGGGCCTGTAATTCTGAATTTCTTTCGGTCAAGGTTTGCGCCAACTTCTCTGCAGCAACCTAGTAAGAGGAAATCACAAATAACATCAGAAAGATATTCGAGTAAAACAAAAATTTTCTTCTGGTATTATTTCTTCAGAATCAACCATTTGTAAACAACAAGCAAGCAAACAAACAAAACAGTGGGTTCTTAGGAAATCGTTTCCCTGCTTTCAGTTTACAGGGAAAAACGCAGTTAAAGTGAATGGAAAGAAAGTCTCACAGGCAGAACATTGGAGAAAAAACTGAATTTAACACATTTGTAACAGATAAGAGAAAGAGAATCTGAAATAGGTTCTGCTAGAACTATCAGGTTAAGGTGTTAAGATTCTGGAATTAAGATAACAGTTGTCCTTCTTCTTGGACAGCTGTTTCTTAGGACTGGAGTGCTCTTCAAACATTTCTGTGGTTCGCTCCCTTCCGGTCTTTGCCAAATGACACCTTATCAGGTTGGCCTTCCCTGCACATCCTATCCAAAACAGCAATCTCACTGGCCAAAGGGTACAAGCTTTCAGGTACAAGATGAGTACATTTTGGGAATCCAATGTATAGCATGGTGACTTTAGGTAATAATATTGCATTATTTACTTGAGTTAGTCATTCTATGTTATTTACTTGAAATTTGCTAAGACAGTGGCTCTTTAGTGTCTTCGCCATACATGCCTAAAATGTGTAGTGACGGATGTGTTAATTTGATGGTGGTAATCATTTCACAATGTATACTTATATCAAAACATCATGTTGCACACCTTGAATATAGACAGCATTTGCAATTATGCCTCAATAAGGCTGGGGGAAAAAAACTTTAAAGAACCCAGCAATCTCTTCTCTATCCCCAATATCCCTTACTGTGCTAACTTTTTTTTAATGCACTTACCATTATCTGATATACAGCTCTCTCTACTTCCCCTACATGGAATGTAAGTTTCCTAAAGGCAACCTCGTGCTGAATCTCAAGCACCCGGTACGGTGTCTGGCACATGACAGGCACTCACTACATATTTACTGAAAGAGTCAATTACACACATACACCTTTTTATCAGACCACATGATCAGGGGAATCTCAATCTCAAAATCACCAAACTCAGTTTCATTTTAAATCCCAGTTTTCTAAGACAGATGATGACACAATGAGGGAAAGAGCTAGAACTTCCATAACTATTAATGCATAGAAAGTCTGCAGTTAAACAGAAAATCTGGAAATAATAAATTGATATTAAAATTACTGAGGGTATAAGATGATGAACTGTAACACCACCTGTCTCTGAGGAAAAGTACTATTGTTTTAAGTGAGAAGCCGAGCTCTTGTCACGTTTTCAAAGGGAAATACGAGCAAAAAACTTCCATTTTTGGGTAAGTAAAACTTGAGCTCTTGGGAGATTTCCATGCGACCATTTTAGAGGTATCAGTATATTATGAAAGTACCTTAATAAAAGTATCTGTGAAAACTGTGGGGAAACAACATAATAAATAACATACAAGATATATGCTGTGCCCCATCTGCCTTGGCACTCTTTTTCTAGTAGTAGTTAAGAGTTTTCAGCAGGGCTCCTCCAATGCAGCCCATGAGCCAGCAGCATCACTATCACTTGTTAGAAATGCAAATTCTTAAGTCCCACCTATACCTTCTAATTTCTATCTCTGAAGTTGAGCTCCACAATCTACGTATTTAAAAAGCTATTCAGGTGATTTCTTTTGCATGTCAAATTAAGAGAGCAGATCTAGAAGAATACAACCATTAATCTTCTTGAATTAAAAAATTTCCTGTAAGTTCCATCATCTTTATTATTCTATTACACAGAGGGCATAATTTTTTTCTGAGGTATAATAAAGACTGATTCTTCCAAATCACCAACAGGTTACAAAGAAAACTCACAGATGCTAGCCTCTTGCCAGACTTAGATAATTGAGAATAATTTTCTTAGGCCTATTTCAGAAACAATTTCTGAAGCACACAGCAGGACTTTTCTAACAAGAAGCGGATTTACTTCAGTGGGGCTAACCTTCAGAGCAGTGGAGGATAATCCCCTTACAATAGAAGGCAACATAAAAAACTATTATGGTCAAATAACATAGGCGAGAAAGAGTCTTTCTTCCTCTAAAAAGTGACTAGGAGGATTCTGAGCTCCTGGTCTTTGAAAAGCAGCACAAGTCAACTAAGACTTTAGTTTTGAGGAGAAAAAACACAGAAATGAGGAAAAGTTAAGAATTTACTCCTGGCCAAGGCATGGTGGCTCACGCCTGTAATCTCAGCACTCTGGGAGACTGAGGTGGATGGATCACTTGAGGCCAGGAATTGGAAACCAGCATGGCCAAATGGTGAAACCTCATCTCTACTAAAAACACAAAAATGAGCTGGGCATGGTGGTGTATACCTGTAATCCCAGCTACCTGGGAGGATGAGGCAGGAGAATTGCTTGAACCCAGGAGGCAGAGGTTGCAGTGACCTGAGATCATGGCACTGCACTCCAGCCGGGGTGACAGACAGAGGGAGATGCCACCTCAAAAAGAAAAAAAATTTACTTCTCAACTACTGTGAAAGTAGTATACCCCATACTGTAATGAGATTATTCATGCTCTCATCATGACCTTTGAAGAATGCAATCATTTTTTCCTCTTAAGGTAACTCAGATTTAACAAAAACTAAGAGTAAACAGGCTGAGTGTAAGTTTTCCCATATCTTCGCTGAAAATGCAAAGTTATCACTCTAGTCTTAATAATTTAGAATCAAAATAAAAACACTCCACAACCCCTACTCCTTTCTCTCAAAATGCTCAGATTATTAAGGAAAAGAAAACACATGTAATGAAGCTAACAGATACATGTATTGTTTAGGCACCCTTCCAAAATGTAAAATTTTCAAAAAAGTTTTTCATACTGTGATGATCAATTTTATAACAGTTTTATAACTGTGATCTAAGGCCAGGCACAGTGGCTCACACCTACAATTCCAGCACTTTGGGAAGCGAAGGCAGGATGATTGCTTGAGCCCAGGATTTCAAGACCAGCCTGCACAAACAGAGACCCCCATCTCTAAATAAATTAGGAAATAAATAAAACTGTGGTCTAGGAAATAAATGGAAGGAAAGAAACTAACAGAGTTGACAGTCAAATATATAAACATACACACATCCATAGTCTGCAAATGCTTCCTACTTGCAGACTATAAATGCACCGTGTGATACTTTTCTGCTAAGCGCATTAGTCCTTACCTGGCTTTCCTGCTCTCTGGAGTTCACAGACTGAAGCAGGCCTTGAATCTCAATTTCGTGTTCCACCCACTTGTTTGTGTCGATCACTCAGAAGGTCCTGCAGCATCATTTCCTTTCGCTGTAAACGCTGGCACAGCTCCTCCGCTACCTGAGTCCACCCTGGTCCCAGCCTGCAGCGCAATGTTGCACTAAGATCCTAATACAGAAGGGACAGTGTAAGTTTCTGGGGGAAAGAACTGCCTCTAGTAAATAGCAAAGGGCTTACAAAACTATCACAGAAGAAGGAGCCGTGAGATTCTTGACACGAAGTATCGTGTTTAATTCATTTTTGTTTTACCAAGCCCGGAACACGGAAGTCTCTAAATACATGTCCCAGGAATGAATACTAACAATAGAGAAAACGATCTCTAGTGGACACTTATGTAACTATTGTTTTCTGAAATAAATTTTTATCCTATTTGTTCAGGGCATGTAACAATTAATGTTAGATGAGGATAAACGGACACTCAGTTCATTTACGTATTTTCTCCCCAGTGTAACCTTAGAGAGGGCAGCACAAAACGATAAGCGGAAAGGAATACTAAACACTGTATTTGCTATCATAGTGATGGTTTCAATTTCTGTACTCCCCAAAGGTACATGGAGAAGGAAACGGAGGAGCCATACTGCCTAGCTTACTGGATCTGCTACTTATTAGCTATGTTAGCTTGGACAGGGTACTTAGCTTCAGAAGTCTGTCTCCTCCTCTATAAAACAGGGATAATAGTATGTGCCTCATGGACCCTGGCAATGCTTCCGTAAAAGTAAGAGACAGCCAGAGAGAAGGAGAGAGAAAATGTGTATTTACGTATGAACAAGATTTGGAAATAAATCAGAAGTATATGAACAGAAACCAATATTCATTGGCTCGCCTAATAAAGTTCATATTACAAAAGGAAGTAGAAATGCTAAAGTCTCTCACTTTCTAAACTACAAACATGGAACTAATGGCTGCTATTTTTGGTTTTTCCTTCGTATATAAAGCAGAATCCCCGGTTTTCAGAAAATGATGGAACGGGTCCTGCCTCAGGCTTAGAATACAAGCGGGAGAGGAACACGAAGTCAGAGATAGGTTTTGCTCTTACCTGCACAGTAGCTTCATTGGCGGAGTCCCAGGCGCTGACGGCGTCAGCTGCAGTCGGAGGCGTCTAGGGTGCGTGGGCGGCGTCCGCACCCCGCAGCGCGACAGCGGCGTCCGAGGCACTTCGGCGGTGTCCCAGGCGCGGATGGCACCCGCGGCGTGGTCGGCGCATCGGCAGTGTAGGAGGCGCGGTAGGCTCGTCGGGGTCGGCGGCGGCGCGGTCATCGGGTTGGCGGCGTCCCAGGCGCTGACAGCGTCAATAACGTCCGCGACGTCAGAGGGTCAACAGCCGCGTCCCAGGCGCTGAAAGTGTCAGTGCCGCTGCCGGCGCGGTCCGCGTATCGGTTGCATCAGCGGCGTTAGCCGCGCGCTCCGCGCCGTCGGCATCCAGAGGATCTGTGGTGTCCGCAGCGTTGTCGGCGCGTCAGTGACGTCAGCGAAGCGACGGCGGCATCCCAGACGCGGATGGCATCGGCGGCGCGGTCGGTGCGTCGGAAATGTCGGCGTTGCGGTAAGCTGGTCGGGGGGCATCCCCGGTGCGGTCAGCGGTTCGGCGGCTTCCCAGCTGCTCACAGCCTCAGTGCCTTCGGCGGCGCGGTCCGCGCGTCGGCTGCGGTTTTGGAGGCGCGGTTCGCCCTGGCGGCGTCCAGGGTCTATGACGTCAGCGGTGCGACGGCGGCGTCTACGGTGCGTGGGAGGCGCCCAGGCGCAGATGGCATCGGAGGCGCGGTCGGCGCATCGTGAATGTCGGCAGTGTGGTAAGCTGGTTGGGGGCATCCACGAAGTGGTCAGCCGTTCAAAGGCTTCCCAGCCGCTCACCGGGTCAGTGCCATCGGCGGCGCGGTCCGCGGGTCGGCTGCGGCAGCGGCGTTGGAGGCGCAGTCTGCGGTGGTGGCGTCCAGGGAGTTTATGGCGTCAGCGTGGTCGGCGCGTCAGTGGCGTCAACGGCGCGACGGCGGCGTCTACGGTCCGTCGGAGGGGTCCCGGGCGCTGATGGCATCGGTGGCCCGATTGGCCCGTCGGGAATGTCGGCGGTGCAGTAAGCTGGTCGGGAGCATCCATGGCGCAGTTAGCGGTTAGGCGGCTTCCCACCCGCTCACAGGGTCAGTGGCGTCGGCGGCGCGATAGGCTGGTTGGGGACATCCGCGGCGCGGTCCTCGGTTCGGCGGCGGGGTCCCAGGCGCTGACAGTGTCCGCAGGGTCTGCGGCGCGATGGCGGCATCCGAGGCACGGTCAGCGCGTCGGGGGCATACGGGCCGCGGTCTGCGTAGTGGGTCTCTGCGGCGTGTTGGGGACGTCACCGGAGCTGTCGGCCCCTCTGCGACGCGAAGGCAACGGCGACGTCCCAGGAGCGGATGGAATCAACGATGCAGTCGGCGCATCGGGAGTGTAGGTGGCGCGGTAGGCTCGTCGGGGGCGGCCGCAGAGCGGTCAGCCGGTCGGAGGCGTACCAGGCGCTGACAGTGTCCGGGGCTTCCGCGGCGCGGTCCCCGTCGGCAGCATCCAGAGGGTCTGCGGGGCGACAGTGGTGTCCGAGGCGCGGTCGGCGCGTCAGTGGTGACTGGGCATCGGCATCGCGGTAGGCGATGGTTGCGCATCGGTGGCGCGAGCCGGTGGGTCTGCGGCGGCGCGCTAAGTTAAGGTTTACAGGACGTCGAGGCAGCCTTTCCCACGTGAGTGCCACGGTGGGGCGGCGGCTGGAATCTGCACTGAAACTTTAAGGTTTAGTAGGAAGTCAGGGTTTGGGGGGAAGTCCACCCAGCCTTTCCGAGGTGAGGGCGCTGCGCCAAACCCGGAGAGCGGTGAGTCTGGGATCCGAGGCGCACAGCTCGGTCGATGTGCGCGCCGGGGGCCTCCACAACTTTTGCTGTGCCAGCGGGGCAGGCGCACCGGCCCCCCCCTTCCCCCCCCCAGCTTAAGTTCCCTGCATTGGATTCCTCGCTTGTCGGTGCCGGCGGCAGCCCTGCTCTCGTGGGCTCTGGGGAAGAAACTCGCCGGCGGGTCTTCCTGTGGCATCCCAGGAGGTGGAGGGATGGAGCAGCTTCGGTGGCACATCCTCCTAGATTTGGTGGAGGACATTGACCCTTTGCCCCACCTTCGAGGCCAGAAATCGGTTCCCTTTGGGAGCCTGAATGGCGAAAGATCTCAAGCCCCAAATTTGCAAAGTTGGGGTCTTTATTGGCCTCCGGGATTCCGCACCTGGCGCTGTCTCCAGCTTGGTGGTGGGCAAGCCAGGTGTGCCAGATCCAGGAAGCAAGCACTAGGGGAGCGTTTGTAGCCGTCGCTGAATCGCCTCAGGACTAGCGGGGCAAGTCTCAAATTAACCGCAGCATTTCCAGTAGGTTGGATTGTGGTGCTGCTGTTTGCGCTCCAAAGAGTTGCTGTGGTTTCCCTGTGTCTGTCTGCCTTGGGAGCTTCTCAGATCATCTGGTTTGGCATCCTCTCTCAGAAGAGTTAAGCAAGACTTTTGAATTGTTTTCCTCGATTTCCTTCTGTGTTTTGCTGGTAAAGCTGCTTTCAAAAGGAAGTCTTTTCTTGCAGTGCTATCTTTTCTTTGACTCCCAGTGCTTGACGAAGTTAAAGAAAAGTAATCTGCTGGTGGTTTTTCATCTTTGTTCTGAGCTGATACGCGTTAATAGCTGTCTTTTGTTTTTAAATTTTATTGGTAAAATTTCAGCTGTGAACCAGAAGCTCGCTTTTTCTCTTCTAAAATGCTAGCTTTAAGATTTCTGAGAACTTTGTGTCAAAGAAATCTTGGAAAAGTTACTGAAGTCTACAGAAGCAGCTCACAATTTTAAATGTGCAGGTGGTCCCGGGACAGCAGATCACACCTGTAATCCCAGCACTTCTAGAGGCCAAGTGAGCAGATCAGTTGAGCCCAGGAGTTCCAGACCAGCCTGGGCAACGTGGCAAAACCCCGTCTCTACTGAAAAGACAAAAATCAGCTGTGTGTGGTGGTGTGTGCCTGTAGTCCTAGCTACCCGGCAGGCTGAGATGGGAGGATCACCAGAGCCTGGGAGGTTGAAATTACAGTGAGCCGTGGCCATGCCAGTGCACTCAGGCCTGGATGGCAGAATGAGAGCCCGTCTCAAGAAAAGAAAAGAAAAAAAAACAGGTAATGAATTTACACTAAGAAATTTCACCACATATCAAGAAATAGAACATTACTAGATGGGTGTATAAATGTAGGAGTGGCATTGTTGGTTTTAGAGGTATGTGAATGACAAAACTTTAGTATCAGTTATTGTTGATCATTTTCACAAAGTGGTTGTACTGCTGAGCGGGGAATATTCTGGTTACCTCACATCTTTGCTTATGCTTGTCAATTCAAAATTATTTTGCCATTCTAGTTGAGGTGCAGTAATATATCAGTGTAGTTTCATTTTGCATTTTCCTGGTATTGAGATTGAGTATTTTTTATTGCCATTTATATGTCCTCTTTTGTGAAGTGCCTGTTCAATCTTCATATCCTGTTTTCATTGATATGCTTGTTTTTCTGTTGATTTGTAATTCTTTATTCTGGATGTGTGTCCTTTTTAGTATATATATGTATTACATGTATTACCTTTCTCTATTTTTCAAACTGTAGCATGCCTTTTCACTCTTTTAATGGTATTTTTACATGAATGGAGATTCTCCGGTTTTTTTTTTTTTCCTTTTTGAGACAGGATCTCATTCTGTTGTTCAGGCTGCAGTGCAGTGGCAGTGCAGAGATTTCACAACTCAGTGTAACTTCCACCTCCCAAGGCTCAAGAGATCCTGAGGGGCCTGAGCCCCCAAGTAGCTGGGACCTACAGGGGAGCACCATTATGCTCAGCGCTTTTTTGTATTTTTAGTAGAGATTGGGTTTTAACACGTTGCATAGGCTGGTCTGGAATTCCTGGGATCAAGTGATAACACCTGCTTGGCCTCCCATAGCGTACGGATTACAGGCATGAGCCAGTGTACCCAGCCTGAGTTTCTTAATTTTAATGAAATTATACTTGATCAACCTTTTCCTTTACAGTGACTGCTTTTTGTGTCCTGTTAATCAATGCCTAACCTAAGAACATGAAAACTTAATCTCATAGCAATTTTAGTTTAGTTTATGCTTCCCCACCCCCACCCCCATGCCCCAGATAGGCTGTCATTCTATTGCCCTGGCTGGAGCGCAGTGGCATAATCTCAGCACACTGCAACCTCCACCTCCTGGCTCAAGCGATCCTCCCCGCTCAACCTCCTGAGTACCTGAGACCATAGGCATGTGCCACCATGCCTGGCTAAGTTTGGTTTTTTTGTAGAGATGGGGATTCACCATTTTCCCAGGTTAGTCTCAAACTCTTGGGCTCAAGTAGTCTGCCCGCTTCAGCCTCCCAGAGGGCTAGGATTCGAGCCAACCCACCCACCCATGATTTACTTTTTACTACATGGATGTGACTGACTGCTTGATTTAGTACCATGTATGGAGAAGACCATCTTTGTCCTTCTGCACTGTGTAGCACTTTTTTTATCAGTTGGATGGCTGTATGGTCATGAGATTGACGAAATCAGTGTGGGTCTGTTTCTGGACCAAGCTGGGTAACATAGCAAGATCCAATCTCTACAAAAATTAATAAAAAATAAAGAAAGACATGAAATTCTTTAAGTGGGTAGAGCAGATGGAGTCATAGGTGGTAATTTATAAATGATTGCCAATTTCTTGGCTACATAGAGGTGTTGGTAAGTGAGATCTGTTGGGAGTTCAGGCAAAATGTATTAAGTGAATTATTTGGTGTTCAGAATGATTGCTAGATGTTGGTTGTGACTTCAGTTAGATGTTATTTGAGCCTCACAGAGCTACAGGTTTTATTCTCTTCTTTATTTGTCTTTAAAAATTTTTACAATCTTCCTATCAAGGCAGTACCTCTTTTATACTTAATTGTTCTTAGGTATAGTTAATTACCAGGAAAATTTTATGGATCATATCTAACTGTTAAGCCACTTAAAGGGCTGATGTGATGTAATGTAGACGATAGGATTCTACATACTAGTTTCAGGAGTATATCGATTAAATTGTTTCTTCTTCTTTTTTTTTTTTTTTTCTTGGGATAGGGTCTGGCTCTGTTGCCGAGGCTGGAGTACAGTGGTGTAGTGGTATGATCGTGGCTCACTGCAGCTTTGACCTCTCAGGCTCAAGCAGCCTCCCACCTCAGCCTTCTTAAGTAGCTGGGACTACAGGCATGCACCACCATGCCTGGCTAATTTTGTATCTTTTGTATGCAGGGTCTTCCTATGGTGCCCAGACTGGTTTGAAACTCCTGGGCTGAAATGATCCTCCCACCTTGTCTTCCCAAAGTGTTGGTATTACAGGTGTGAGCTATCACACCTGGACATTTTAGTTTTAATAATTTTATATTTTTCTAATTTAGAGTATTTAAGTCTATTTAACTTATGAATATGATATTCATTATGATTAGTTTGTATGTATTTAACCTCATTTTAATATAAGCTTTTGGAAATTAGAGATGTCGTTTCTTATTTGCTACTGTGTTCTCAGTACTTGACCTTGCCTGGTATGATACAGTTATTGAAATAGTTGTTAAATGAATGAATGAACCACATTCATAAATTCTCCAAGTATCACAGCATTCACCATCTAATGAATAAAAGAGCTTATCTAGAGTAGAGTCACAGTTAACCTGCCATACAAGGAAATGCCAATGAAAATCGACCTTTGTATGTGTAGCTGCTAAGATTTGGGGGCTTTTGTTACTGTATTTATATGGATGTATGTTTTCATTTCTTTGAGTATATGCTTAGGATTAGAATAGTTGGGTCTTACGGTAACTCTGTTTCATATTTTGAGGAACTGCCTGATTATTTCCAAAGTCGCTGTACCATTTTACATTCCCGTCAACAGTGTACGAAGGCTTCCGTTTTTCTACATCCCCACCGACACCTGTCATTATCTGTCTTTTAAAAATATTAATAACAAGTGTCGGTGGGGATGTAGAAAAACTGGTGGTGTACACTTTGTTGCTCAGTCTGGAGTGCAGTGGCATGATGACAGCTCACTGCAGCGTTGACCTCTCAGGCTCAAGTGATCTTCCCACCTCAGCTCCACCTGAGTAGCTGGGATCACAGGCATGTGCCACCACACCTGACTAATTTCTTAATTTTTTTGTGGCGATGGAGTCTCATTATGTTACCCAGGCTGATCTTGAACTCCTAGCCTGAAGCAGTCCTCCCCTCTCAGCCCCCTAAAGTGCGGGGATTATAGATGTGAGCCAGTGTACCCTGCCTTATCTGTCTTTTTAAAATTTATTCATTATACTTTAAGCTCTGGGGTCCATGTGCAGATCGTGCAGGTTTGTTTCATGGGTATACACATGCCGTGGTGATGGTTTGCTGCATCCATGACCCCGTCATCTACATTAGGTAGGCTTACTACATGCAACCTCCACCTCCCAGGCTCAAGCGGTCCTTCCACCTCAGCCTTCCAAGTAGATGGGACTACATGTGTGCATCACCTTGGCTGATTAATTTTTGTATTTTTTGTTGAGATGAGTTTTTGCCATGTTGCCCAGTCTTCATGGTGGTTTTGATTTGTATTTCCTGGATGCCAAATAATACTGAGCATTCTTTCATCTGCTCACTGGTCTATCCTCTTATATTTAATACAAACATTGTTGCCCGCCTTTCCTAAAATGTGTGTGTGTGTGTGTGTGTGTTCAGTGTATTTGCATGTCTAGATTTCAGCATGAAAAGTTCATTTTAGGAGCCCACACTGAGCAACATGGCAAAACCCCAACTCTACCCAAAAAAAAAAAAAAAAAAAAAAAAAGCCAGGCGTGGTGAAGTGCACCTGTGGTCGAAGGTATTCAGGAGGCTGAGGGGGAGGATCACTTGAACCCAGGAAGGTTCACGCTGCTGCACTCCAGCCTGGGTAACAGAGTGAATCCTAATCTCAAAATAAGAAGAAAAAGAAGAAGAAAAAAACCGGCTGGGCAGCTGGGCACAGTGGCTTATGCCAGTAATCTGACACTTTCGGAGAACGAGTTGGACAGATCACTTGAGTTTAGGAGTTTGAGATGAGACTGGGCAACAAGGAAAACCCCATCACCAGAAAAATTACAAAAAATTATCCAGGCGTGGTGGTGTGTACCTGTGGTCCCAGTTATTCAAGAGGCTGAGGTGAGAGGATCACTTGAGCCCAGAAGGTTGAGGCCGTAACAAGCCATGATCATATCACTGCACTTCAGCCCAGATAACAGAGTGAGACATAACCTAAAAATAAATAAAAAGAAAGAAAGAAAGAAAAAAGGGCTAGGCACAGTGGCTAAGCCCTGTAATCCAGCATTTTGGGAGGCTGAGGTAGGCAGATCACATGAGTTTGAGACCAGACTGGGCAACATGGCAAAATCCCATCTCTACTATAAGTAAAAAAATTAGCCAAGCATGGTGGTGTGCACCTGTGGTCCTAGCTACCCAACAGCCTGATATAGGAGGATCGATTGTGCCAAGGAGGTTGAGGCTGCAGCAAGCCGTGATCGCAACACTGCACAACAGCCTGGGTTACATAGCAAGACCTAATCTCAGAATAATAATAATTAAAAAAGAAAAAACATGTGGACACAGTGGCTTACACCTGTAACCCAGCACTTCGGGAGGCCAAGGTGGGCAGATTACTTGAGTTCAGGAGTTCGAGACCAGACTGGGCAATGTGGCGAAACCCATCTCTACAAAAATCTGAAAGATTAACCAGGCATGGTGGTGTGCACCTGTGGTCCCAGCTATTTCAGAAGCTGATATGTGAGAATCGTTTGAGCCCAGGGGGTTGAACCTGTAGGAAGCTGTTATCGTGCCACTGTACTCCAGCCTGAGAAACAGAGAAAGACTTAATCTCAAAAAAAAAAAAAATTAAAAAGAAAAGGAGAAAAAAAGAAATGAAAGAAATGGCTGGACACAGTGGCTCACTACTGTAACTCAGCATTTTGAGAGGCCAAGATAAGCAGATCACTTGAGTTCAGGAGTTTGGGACCAGACTGGGTAACAAGGCAAACGCTATCTCTACAAAAAACACACACGAAAAAAGGGCCAGGCTTGTGGTGTGCCTCTGCTGTCACAGCCATTCAAGAGGCTGAGGTATGAGGATCACTTGATTCCCGGAGCTCGAGGCTGCAGCAAGCTGTAGTGCCACTGCACTCTACCCTGGGTAACAGAGCGAGACCTCATCCCCCCTCCAAAGAAACCGGAAAGAAACAAAAACGGTCTGTGCACAGTGGCTCACGCTTGTAACCCAACACTTAGGGAGGCCAAAGAGGGCAGATCACTTGAATTCCGGAGTTCAAGACCAGACTGAGCACATGGCAAAACCCCATCTCTACCAAAAACACCAAACATTCTCCAGGCGGGGTGGTGTGCACCTGTGGTTCCAGCTATTCAAGAGGCTGAGTTTGGGAGGATCGCTTGAGCCCAGGAGGTTGAGGCTGCAGCAAGCCCTGACCACGCCATTGCACTCCCGCCTGGGTAACAGAGGGAGACCTTATCTTTAAAAAAAAAAAAGAAAGAAAGAAAGGAGGAGGAGGAAGGGGGGGCACAATGGCTCAGGCCTGTAACTCAGCACTTTGAAAGGCCGAGGTCTTGACTCACCCTCTGGCCTCAGCCCAGGCTGGTGGGATCGCTCTGAGGTGTAGGCTGCCCGGACCCCGAGACCAGGCCGTCCCTGCTCCAGGAACTCCCGAAGGTCTGCAGGCGTTGGTGTGGGGCTGGCTGGGTGCGCAGGCTTTCCTGCATGCACATGTGTGCCAGGGCCCGAGCGAGGGGATAGCGCAGTTCTGGAATGGGGTGTGTGCAGATGTGGGCCATGCACGGACATGCAGGCACGGGTTTGCATGCGTGGCAGCGGCCTGTGTGTCAGCCTGCTGGATGCATGTGTGTCTCAGCGCCGCTGGGAGGGGCTTGGGACACCCGGAAGCCAGCCAGGTCTGGTGCTGCTGCAGCCTCAAAGCCAAGTCCGTTGTGGGCCCCAGGCACCAGAGTTATGCTCAGGGTGGTAGGGGAAAGGGGATAGAGATGGTCCTTCACCTTCTCTTCCACTGGAGACTTTGGGCTGCCCCAGGTTGGGTTGTAGCGTCTGGAGAGCCCCAAGCCTGAGGTATAGAAGGTGGAAGGTGGAAGAAAACTCGCAGAGGCCCGATCCAGCCCTCCGGGAGCATCCAGATGCTGGCCACAGTTGGGCAGGAATCGACCTCTTCCTGGTCTTTCCCATCAGCCATTCCGAGGTCCCTGGAAGGTGAAAGCGGGAACAGAGACACAAAGCTGTTCCTTTTCCACTGCCAAAGGCAGGGTTAGTGTTGCGGTGGTGGGCTCTTCTCCGGGACCCTGGCCTGGGTGCTGAGTGAGGTTGGAGCTTGACAGGGAGGATCCACAGAGCTGCTTCTCCAGGATGACCTGAGCCTGCTCCCTGGGCACGTGCCCTGTTTGAGAGCCTGGTTGCCTTAGTATGGGTCAGGGAAGGAGGCACCTACATTTTGGCAACTGTTTTGAATGGAGGAGCAGTTTCCCTTGAGGGAGTGAATCCTGGGCTCTCCACCTCCGACTGGCAGGACAAAGGTCACTCCCACACCCCTAAGAGTTCTCTGTGGGCTCCATGGAGCCTGTACCCTCCCACAGAAACTCCTGAGGGTCCCAGGTGGCCTCCTCTCTACTGGCTGGGTCTCAGGTGGGGGCCTCAGGAAGTCTCCAGGGCAAAGGGTATTGCATGGGCTGAGGCCCAGGAGAGAGGGACTCCTGGGGTTGGGGGTGGGGACCAAATAGGCCCCAAGGAGCATGTGGCGAAGGCGAGACCAAAGTCAGCACTTAACCCAGAGTGTCCCAAGGGTGGGAGTGGGGGTTCATACCCCAAAACCCTACAATTCCTTCTCACAGCATTGCTGTGAAGAAGGGGCTTTCACCCTCATAGGGGTCTCTGTCCACCAAGGCCCCTGACTGCCAGGGAACCCACACGACAGTTCCCTTCTTTCTGAATACTGGCCCTTCCACAGCTTGGATGCTTGAGCCTGGGCAGAGGGATAACAACCCTAGGACTGTCTTCGCAAGCAGAGAGGCTACTTGGCACCAGGCTCTGACTCCTTGGTCTGAGCTCAGCATCAGGCATGTCACCACGGCCCCCTGGACAGAAGGGGCTCAGCCCTGAGAACCCAGCACTCCCCACACCTGCATGTCCCTTCTGTGCATCCACCCTGGGGACCCAGCTTTCCCCCTGCTCCCAGCTGCTGGCAGCCCCATCTTGACTCATCCAGGGTCCCTGAGGCCACACCAGGAAGCAGCCGGCAGCTGGGAGGAGCACCTGCTGTTTCTGCATCTTTATTATCATTATTATTATTTTTATTTTTTTTAGACAGAGTCTCATTCTGTCACCCAGGCTGGAGGGCAATGGCACGCTCTCGGTTCACCACAACCTCTGCCTCCCAGGTTCAAAGAATTCTCCTGCATCAGCCTCACAAGTAGCTGGGATTACAGGTGCATGCCACCAAGCCTGGCTAATTTTTCTATTTTTAAGTAGAGACAGGGTTTCACCATGTTGGTCAAGCTGGTCTCAAACCCCTGACCTCATGATCTGCCCACCTCAGCCTCCCAAAGTGCTAGCTTAAAGGCCTGAGCCACCCAGACCAGCTGCCTCTGCATCTTTTTTTTCCTGGAGCTCACTTGGGTGGGAGGGGCTACATACTCAAGGGAGACTGCAGGCCATGCCCCCCACTCCCTGGCTGAGTGAGCTTTCTTCTCAGGAGTCTGTCTGGAGGCTGGGACTGTCCTGTCACAGAGGCAGGTCTGAGTAGTCCAGGCCTGTTCCTATTCTCCAGCAGGGCCCCTCCTGTTCATTTGTGCAGCTGGCTTTGCCCAAAGCACAAGTGAAGTCTGTGTGGACTGTGTCCTTTGTCCCCAGAGGGAGTGTGGTTCCAGTCCTGGCCTGGAACTCGGATGCCTTAGAATAAGAGGCCACATCTGGCAGGGTGCAGCAGTGTGGTATGCCCACAGCCAGGGCAGGTACCACGTTGGCAGCCCCAGACCTGACACCACAGCTCCTGTGTCCCCTCTTTACTTCCATCCAGCACATCACCTGCACTACGTGCTGCCCCTGATGAATCTGGACTGTCAGCTTTGCCAGCTTAGCCAGGAAATCCCACCAACCCTAAAGAGAACGGTGCCTCCTGAGCTGGGGGCTATGTGGGTATGGGCCTGGTGTGGGGTGGGGGAGGTCGGGGTGAGGCAGGTGTCCAGCACCTGTCTGTTTATCTTCCCTTCTCTTTTGTCCACAAAAGAGGCATCTTCTCCATGTCCCTCTGCCACCCCGAGGACATACAATACTTCCCCAGATCTGTCTTCCCTTGGACACGGCCTACCTACCTTCCTGTGGGACTCAGGGCTTTGTTTTGTCCTGTGGCCCACATGAGAAGCAGTTATCCCTACTCTGCTCAGTTGAGAGGTAAACTGAGGCAGAGCAGGGGAACAACTCTCTTGTAGTCTGGATGTTAACATCAGAGTCAAGAGCAGCCCTTCCACAAGTGGTCAGGTCCAGTGGACACCAAGCGTGGAGGCTGTATCAGTCGGTTTTGCATTGCTCCAGAGGAATACCTGAGACTAGGTCATTTATTTCTTTCTTTCAAGGGGTTGACAGGGCCACTAGGCTGAGGGTTGGAGCCCCATCTCCTAGTCCCAGCCTGGGTCTCCATCACTGGCTAGCCGGCTCTGCTTGCTGCATTCTCTCCACACCTGCCTCCTGTAGCCCAGGGGTCAATCTGGGTCCAGGCCTAGGAAAGGTTCAGGAGCAGATTCTGCCCACCAGCTCATGCCTCCTGTGCACCAAGGCAGCCAAAATGCAGCAGCAGAACCAGGAGCGCTGGCTTGTCCCTGTATCGCAGTGTTTTGGGAGGCTGAGGTGGAAAGATCGCTTGAGACCAACCTGCACAACATAGCAAGACCCCGTCTCTACAAAAAATAAAACTGGGCATGGTGGTATGCGCCTGTAGTCCCAGCTACTCAGGAGGCTGAGGGGGGAGGACTGCATGAACCCAGGAGGTCAAGGCTGCAGTGAGCTATGATTGCACCACTGCCCTCCAGCCCGGGCAACAGAGTAAGACCCTGTCTCTAAAACAAGAAACAAAGTGCACCGTGTGTGAAATCCAGCTTCTGGCATGTGGACCTGACCTCACTCGGTCCCATCAGTGAGTGGGAGGCTGCCTGCTGTCTTCCAGAACATTCCCACCACTACACCTATGTCCCTCCTGTGTTCCCTGGCAGGCTTTGTAAGGTGGCCTGTCACCTACCCTCTGGCTTCCCTAAGGCACAGCTCAAACCTTTCTTGCCACTGAGAACCTTTTCCTGAAGAGTCTTACCCTCATCTGCAGGCCTCTTCATTTCAGAGCTTTTGGTGGGGTGAGTACCAGAATTGACTCACTGCTACCAGCTGGGAGGAATTGTCCCTAGGGGTGGGTTTCTGGATGGCATGTGAGGATCTAGATGAGGACCCAGATGCCTGTAACCTGAAGGGAAGGGCCTCGGCTGCCAGGGCTTCACACAGCCCCTCGTCCAGTCTTACCTTCTGGGACAGGCCAGACCCCTCCATCCTTTGGTCTTGGTCCCTACCAGGAACTCTGGTTTCCCTGGATTACCTACTTTGACTCCAAAGGTAATAATGCCGACATCCCCCGTGAGATAGTGACAGACTGAGACTACCATAGGGTTAGCTGGCTCAGAGTCACCATAGCCAAGCACAGCTCAGGTCCTGGCCCTGTTCAAGGCTTTCCCCAATGCCTTCTAGCTCTGGTACGTGGGTTCTTCCTCACCCAGCTGCAGCTCACCCTGCCCCTTCCACCAGGTGACAGAGAACCTGACAGTCTGTGATCCATAGAAGGTTTCACTTTCCTTCTTGTGAGGGATGAGAACCAGCTTAGGGTGGGAGGGAAGAGGGGTCTGGGGGCCCTCCCAGCCCTGCCTCTGGCATTTGAAGGATGGTGGCTGGGCAGCAGCATGGTTTAGGCTAGACAATGCAGCCCCTAGGTTTATAGCCTGGCCTCAGACAGTTGCTGCCATGTCACCTTCTCTTCTGCACATGCTGACCTGGCATCCCACCAAGTTAAAGGTCCTCAGGCCTCCTGCCCAGATGCCTGTAACCTGAAGGGAAGGGCCTCGGCTTTTCCCCCACTCCCTGCCCAGGCACAGCTGTCCTTGTCCTGGACTCATCTTCAGAGATACTTGTCCAGCACACAGCTTTGCTGGATGTCGCAGGCTGGGCCGGGCCCACTGCCCTGCACTAACCTCTTCGTGTGTCTCAACTAGACTGAGCTGCAGCTTCAGGGTCAGGACAGGCTCTGACTTAATTGATGTGACCCAGGACAAGGGGGTTACATCTGCTTCAGTTCTTGGCCTCTATGGTCTCTTTGGGGCATGATGCCCCTCTGTCCCATGTTTAGGTGCCCACATGTGGCCACAAGTGCTTTTCCTACCACCATCTGGACTTCAGGCTGCTGCCCAGGCACCTGTGGCTCCAGGCAGAAGCATGAGTGCAGAGCCAGGCCTGGGCAGATGTTCCGCAGGTGCTGCAGGAGCGGACAGCCTTGGCCACGCAGCCCATGGCCATCCGTTCCCCTTCACTGTGGCTGTCCCTAGTCCACGATCCTTCCAGGGCCAGGCTTAGAACCAAACTGACTTCTCTCTGGCCCTGACAGGTTCTTGGCTGAGCATGGTGGTCTTGCCCATTTCTTTGATTATCCTCAACAAGAGGTTTTTTGTTTTTTTTTTTTTTTTTGAGACAGTTTCACTCTTGTTACCCAGGCTGTAGTGCAATGGCATGATCTCGGCTCACCACAACCTCCGCCTCCTGGGTTCCGGCAATTCTCCTGCCTCAGCCTTCTGAGTAGCTGGGATTACAGGCACGCGCCACCATGCCTAGCTGATTTTTTATATTTTGAATAGAGACGGGGTTTTACCATGTTGACCAGGATGGTCTCAATCTCTTGACCTCGTGATCCACTCGCCTCGGCCTCCCAATGTGCTGGGATTACAGGCGTGAGCCACCGCGCCCGGCAACAAGAGGTTTATAGAGCTATTGGGAACATCACACCTGTCTACCACGTCCTCACCAGAGACATGACTGCCTTGGGCCGGGCCTGGGACAGTCAGGGGTTACACTTGCCTATAGAAACTTAGATTCAGTGGCTTCAATCTAGGCAATGGGCTGATGGGCAGCTGTCACTTCTCTGCTTGGGGGAGGCAGGAAAGGAAGGTCAGGCAGGAGAGCTGCTTGGTGCCCACCTGTGCCTGTCTCACCTGGCTGCAGGTGCATTGGAGGCTGAACCCCCCTTTCTGATCTTCTGCAGGTGTGGATTTCAGGTTTCCAATGGGTGTTAGGGTACGCTCCAGTGCTCTCCTGGCCCTAGGGAACCCTGGGCTCCATGAGGCCTTGGCCTAGGCAGGATTGTTTCCCACACTTTCATCTCCCCATACAGTCACCTCCCCAAACACTGGGCTGTAGGCTCTGGTATATTTAAAAGTTCAAAGGCAAAAGTTGCCCCTTCCACTCTCCCAGAGTGGGTTGACCCTCCCCCTCAGAGTGGGCAGGGACAGGAGTTGCAGGGGCAGCTTTCCTTGGGATGCCATAGGTCTCTCTGGAGCTGCCTGGCCACGCCTCCTTTTCCTTTCATCTTTCTCATGACCAGTGGGATTGGAGCATGAAGGCCACGCCCCTATTCTACATTCTAGTGTAGCCCTGGTTATGCCTCCTCAGTTTCAAACACAGCTGCCTGGTAGGAGAGTGGAGCTGCTCCCTTGTATTGTGCTGATGTGGCCCCAACCCCACCTCCCTCCCCCACCCACCATGGCGATGTCAGAAGAAATTCGCAAGATGAAATTAGCCTCGGCTAGGAAAAAGGTAACATGCACACAGATCCCCTCCGACGGCAGGACCACTGCCAGAGTCCATAACACTTCTGAGACACACCAGACTTGGTGGGCCCCCAAACCCGATGCCTCTGGGCTCCCCCTGCCAACATCTTGTCAGTCAGCCCCACCCCTTCAGCAAGGAGCCCAGCCCCTACCCTTGCCAATCACCCCAGGATGATTTTGGATGTGTAACTCCTGAGGCTCCCCGCTCCCTACTTTGACCTCACCTTTTCCTGCCCCAAGCCTGACCTCCCTGGGCTCATGTCTCTAGTGACCTGGGTCTCCCAGCCCCCACCCTCATCAGTCATTTCTGTGTGACTTTGGGCTGGTGACTTCTGGGGCTTTCTGCTACAGACTCTGTCCTCCCCTCCTGCTACCACAAGCTCTATTTCCCTGGGCTCTTTGGGCTGGCGTTTCCAAGGACCTGGGTCCCAGCCCTGGATCCCCCTCCCCCATCGTGGAGCAGTGACTCAGGTATGTCCTTGATATGTTCCCCTCCCCCAGGAGGAGTGGAATGTAGTGATGCCACCGTCCCCCTAGGAGCCGTCATTACTGCTACAAGACCAGCCTTTGATCTTACCGCCCAGTCCCCTAAGCATTCTTATTCCATTTCTGGCTCCTCTGGTTGCAGCGCAAATTTCCAGCTGGAAGGGCAATGGGGACTATGGCACCTAGGAGCGAGAGGTTTCAGGTTGCCTCACTCTCTTAACAGACAGTGACAGGGTGAAAAGCCTACACTTTCCCCGTGAGCTCAAAACGTTGACAGTGTCTCTGGGTGGCAATGGGAGAATGGGTTTGGTTTGGTCTTCTCTCAGGCTTCTACTTTCCAGAGAGACTTACACGTTTTTTTCTGAGTTCTCCACCTCATCTTCAAATTCTCCATGGTTCTGGGACCAGACTGCCCTTCAGTCAGTGGCCTCTGGAGTGAGATCTGCTCATCTTTTGTGGAACAGATCTTGGGAAATTGAAACTGACAGCTTGAATCTTCCTCATATCTCAACCTGGGCTACTTTGAATGCCACGGGATAAACATGGGACATCTTTCTGAAGCATCATTTCCCCGTAAGTCTCTTGAGAGAGCAAAAATGTTAATGTACTTAGGGATGACAGTGACTTAGGTTTCTAAGAGTATACCAGACTCCTCTCTGAAATGAGACTTGGGTTGTCCTCTTTCTGATGAATTCCCAGATTTAACAGAAAGGCTGCCTTCTGCCATGAGGACACATTGATATAAAAGTGTGAGAGGTACTGGTGCTCTTCTTAACACTAACAGACGTGTGAGGCTGTATGACTCTAAACCACATGGCATACGGTTCCTGCCTACTTCACGTTGACTTTTCTACCTCTGCCTGTGGTTTTGGTCTCTGGCAGTTGCTGATTCGTGGCAAAACCACAGAGCTTGGAGTCAGAGGAATGAGTTTAAGGTCTAGTATTGCTTTTTGTTTATCTTTTTTTCTTTTTGTTTTTGCTATGATATCAATCCCTGTCAGTCACTAAGTGATTGTGACAATACCTTATAGAGTTGTTGGTGGCATTAAATCAGATGGTGTATAACAGTATTTTGTAAACACTGTAAAGTAGGTTGTTACTGTAGGGGTTTGTAGTTCTCATGGGCATTACTGCTCTTTTTCCCACAGTTTACAGAATTTCAATGAAAAAACAGCCCTGCTGCTTTATCACGAGTGAGAAGAAAGAAGAAAAGAAACAACAGTAGCCGTGAGACATCCACTCCTGATGGTTGCCAGTCACCATGCCATGTGAATCTTGGCTGGCCAGGCTTCTGGGGAAAAGGGGCCCAAGGGGTAGTAGCGGGTAATTGTTAAGATTGTGGAAGACCTTCTGGGTACTGGTTATGAATTCTGGGTTTGAATCCTGCCTCTCCATCTGTGAGGGATATGATTTAGGGTAAGTTGCTTGAGCTTTTTGAGCCTCTCCTTTCACATCTGTAAAATAGAGGTGGTATTGTCCGACTTCCATTTGTGAAGGTGAAATGAGATTCGTTATTGCTGTTGTTTTGTTAATCCCCAGTACATGTCCTGCTGTAAACATCCAGGACACCCAGAAAATGGTCCTTGCTGTTTGGTTTTCCTCATCCCCAGTCTCAAGGGGAAGCCAGCCCAATGAGAACAGCTGTTTGCTGTTAGGCTGTCCCTTTAAGAGTCACGGAAAGGGCCCCAGGGTGGGATTATGGGAGATAAGAACCATGAGAGGAGCTGGCACAAAGGAGTTATGGGACAAAGGGTCCGAGGGAGGAAGAACAGAAAATGCTGCCAGCTGTTGGGGAAGAAAGGAAGTCAGAGGCTTGGACACTTGACGGGACAAAACATCTCCATGTGCACTCTCATCTCTTGTAGTCAGCAGCAGGTGGTCACAAGGAGGGCCCTGCACCATGTGCCACCATGAAAGATCCAGAGGTAAGAGGCCCTGAGCTGAGGTACAGTGACCCTGCAGGCCAGCTCTCCACCCTCCTCCCACAGTGGCAGCTGGGTGCCCCTCTGCCAGCCGAGACAGCCCCCACACACCCCAACCCTAATGATTGTTCTCTCTACCTCTCCCCTAATCTTCCAACTCCTCTCCGCATGCGCCTCAGACTGCACACCAACTACAAATAGCCCTGGACTCGTGCTCCGTCACAATGAGTGAACTGAATAACACCATCGACTTATTCGTAAGAGTCTGGTGGGGTCCCCTGATTCCACGCTGCCAATCCTGGGCTCCAGTTTCCCCATGGGGCTGCTGTGGGTGAGCTGAAGGGTGCTGTAGGAAGCCAGCACTGGATGCAGAGCTCAGAGGGCAAACACCTGCCCTGCCCTTACCTGGCTGTGGCCTTGGCCAAGTCCTAGGTGGGGGACTGTGAAGGTACAGAATAGTAGCCTTAGTATGTTACCATTTGTGTACAGAGGAAGTGTGTGTGTGTGTGTGTGTGTGCACATACTATGATAATATACATAAAACATGTCTGCAAGGATTTGTAAAAAACTCAGGTGAGAGCACAGGTGGCTGGGAGATACTTCCCTTCTGTACCTTCTAAGTTTTGGACTATGTGAATGTATCATCCTTCCAAAAAGTGAGAAAAGATTAATTTCCCCCTTCCTGTTTGTGCCCCCACCCCCAGCAGGAAAAAAAATGGACTTAGAGAATCAGACGGACCTGGGTGTTCAAATCCCAGCTCTGTCTTAGTGATCTTAGGCAACCACCTGACCTCTAATACTCCATGTTTTCCATCTACACAATGGAGGTAATCATAGTAACTGCCCCACATGGTGGTTGTGAGGTTAACTGGGATTGTTCACACGCTACCTGGTGACGCACTCAATGAAGGTTCCAACAGCGGGAGTAACGACAGGAATAACAATAGGATATGATCTGATCTCTCTGGGCCTCTGTTAGCCAGCTGTAATTGTGGCCTCTTTCCCTGTGCCTTCCAACTTTACTGAGTTCTTTTAAAATCCAGACCATGGGATTGGAAATGCCTTGATCTTTACTGACCGAGTTGTGTATTAAGCCTAGCCCTAGCCCTTTTAAGAGGCACTGTGTGGAATGGCTCAGGCTCTCCAGATTGAAGCTTCTCACTCTTCCCCGTCCAGCCCTCGAGCCGCTGTGAAGCAGTCCTTGAGCAGCAGGTACAGCAGTTTCTACAGGAGCGGGAACTGCTAAAAGCACAGGTGGCAGAGGTGAGACTATGCAGAGGGAGGGATGTGGAAGGAAGATGACCCCAGGTGGCCAGGAGCAGGTGAGGACCAGTGACAGCCCTTCCTAACTTCTGGGTCCATTCTTGCAGGTGATGGAGTGTCTTAAGAAAGCTCAGCTAGAAAGAGATGCATACGCTCAACAACTGAAAACAGAGGGTGCAGTGGCAGCAGAAAATCCTCAAAATGGCAGGAGAAGTGAGAGCTGACCCTTCAGCCCCCACCTTAGATAGGTCACTGGATCTTTCTGGGCATCTGTAAAATTAGGCTAGTCCAGCCACGGGTGGTCACAGGACTGGGCTGTGTGGAGCTGGGGGCGGAGAGGGAGATGGTAGCCTGTCCAGCCACCAGCCCCTCTCTCCAGGGCCCTTTCCCCCTGTGCTTTGGGCAGATTGAAATACTCAAAATGGAGAAAAGTCAGGATGCAATGAAAATCAAGAAGCTGAAGGGGAGCCTTGCCCACCTACAAAACCATCTGGGTAAAATTGGGCTGGCATGACCCGGGAGCAGGACTAGCATCAGAGGGCTGTGGGGGTGGCTTAGAGTGCCCCAGGGAGGTGGGTGGCTGGAAGGGCTTTGAGACAGAGGGAGAGAGGTCTGTGCCAGGAGATGGCAAGTCTTGTCATCTCCATCAGCCTCAGTGTCCTCATCAGCAAAGAGGGAGGGTGCCCGTGGTCAGCCACCCACAGTGCTCTCTATCTGAAAGTGGCTTGGAAGACTGGCTACCATTTGGGTGCAAGGAATCATTAGCAATGAGGCCAGGTTTGGGGAGCCTGAGAGGAGCTGTGCACCCAGAAGAGTGTTTTTGTTTTTTGTTTTTTTTAATTGAGAATCCAGAGGCCCTTATTGTCTGCTTCCTTTCTCAGCTGAACCTTCAATCTTGAAGCACCCAGCAGGTCCCTCTGACTTGGAGAAAAACCTAAAAACTGAAACCAAGTATCTGAGAGACAAGCCACGGGAACAGGAGAGACTGCAGCAGGCAAAAATGAGGCTTTGGGAGGCGGAGGTGAGGCTGAGAGAACAGGAGAGGCTTCTTGAGCAGGAGGGGCTCCAGGAGCAGGAGGAGGAGCTGGTGCATTTCCCACCTGGGGAGCCTGCCCTCCTCCCCAGCCCTCCAGGCCTTTGTTTTTTCACCTTTAAAATGGGGAAGTGTAGCCCTCCCATGAAATGGGGCTTCTAAAGGCACCTATGAGTCAGAGCCCTGCTCTGATGGCTGTGGAAGAAAGACAATTTTTCTAACCTGCCTCCATCCTTCCCGGTGCCAGGAGAGGCAGACTCCATGGTTTGGGGTCTCCAGCTGCAGTGGGTGGCCGCTGATTGTTTCTCTCTGTCCCAAACAATGAGAACAGGAGTGCACTGCATTTGGAGCAGGAAGGAAAGGAGCTGCAGGAGAAGCTTGGCGAACAGGAGACTGTAACCTCCACCCCATCCAGGAGGGCTGGGAGGCAGGTACCAGCCTCTGGGGAGGGGAGGTGCAAGGCCAAAGGCAACTCCACCCTGGGGGCAGGAGACACCCCACATCCTCCAGGGAAGTCCTGGAACTGTTTCTTGCTTCCTGCCCTCTGACTTTTAGAGGTGGATAGCCCAGGGCTCCTCCCAGGTCTGGACATCATCCCAGCTAGAGGCATGGAGACCCTGAGTCATAGGGCAAGAGACAGTGGTTTAAGAGGCTCTTTATGCTGGGTGCGGTGGCTCACACCTGTAATCCCAGCACTTTGGGAGGCTGAGGCAGGAGTGTAAGACCAGCTTGGCCAACATGGCGTAGCCTCATCTTTACTAAAATTACAACCACCACCACAACAACGAAGCTGGGCATGGTGGCGCACACCAGTAATCCCAGCTACTCAGGGGGCTGAGGCATGAGCATCACTTGAACCCCGGAGGTGGAGGTTGTGGTGAGCTGAATTTGCACCACGGCATTCCAGCCTGGGTTACAGAGTGATACTCTGTCTCAAAACAAAACAAACCAAAACAAAACAAAATGAAAGTCTTTTTAGATCCAAACTGGATTCCAGCCTTCATTCCACTGGACACCATTCAACTACTTTGCATCTCTAAGTCTTTGTTTCTTTAACTTCCGAAGGAAGTTAGCATTTTCCTTGCGTGGATGCTGAGGAATAAATGAGATGATTCGTGGAAAGCATTAGGCATGTGGCACACTTAGCAGATAGATGGTGGTTGGCTCCCTCTGCTTTTCCAGCAGTCTGTGGCCTACAGTTTAAGTAGTGGAAAGAAGGACGTGAGATTTGAGGCTGAGGAAGGAGGCATGGGGTTCTAGGCAAGGGAGGCAGTCTCCAGCTGGAGCCAGGGGCCAGGCGCCTGAGCGGGCCACCTTCGTCTGTGGTCCCTCCCAGACCCCCTTATGCTCTTAGTTTCCCCACCATCTGATTCCTCTGGACCCTCACCCCTTCTGGGAGCCGATGGTCAGACACCTTCGTGACTGACGGGTGCACCCTCTGAGGCCCCAAGGTAAGGGGCTGCGCTCCACCTCCCTGCCTCATCTGTCCTGTGTATGCCCCTACAAGAACGCTCACCTCTTGCCTTCAGGTGCCATTTCTGAACGCTGCTAAAGCCAGTGCCCAGGAGGAGCAGGCACGGCTCTGTGAGCAGCTCCAGAAACAACAGGTGTGCTGCCAGCACCAGGCTCACCCGGTGGCCTCAGCCCTGAAGGAGCCAGAGGCAGCTGCCGTGGCCACAGGAACTGGGAGCGAGTCTGGGTGTGGGGAGACCCAGCGGGCCCTGCAGGGAGCCCTCAACAAGCTGCAGGTGAGTCCTGGCAGGGGCCAAGAAGGGTGGGGGTGGGGCAGGTCGCTGCCGAGATGTGACCCCATTATTTCGGCTCCAGAGAGACTTCATGGACATTGCGAAGGAGAATTCGGACCTGAAGGAGCGGGTGGAAAAACTAGAGCTCGGATTCATTCAGGTCTCTGGAGAGAGAGACATGATAAGTGAGCAGGAGGCCAGGGCAGGGCAAGGGAGCTGCAGGGTGGTGTGAGGGGCCCCAGTGTCTGAGCCTGTCCTCCCACAGGAAGGTCCATCAAACCAAATGACTGTCAGAGGGCAGTGGCCAAGACCCAGCACCAGAAGAAGAATGACATTAGCATGCTGTCCCAGGCCAAGGAGGAAATGAAGGTAAGGTGTACAGCATCTCTGCAGTGATGAGGGGATGGGGGTGGGCATGAGCGTGGGTGCCAGCACCAGTGTGGCAGCTGAGCACCCCTATCTCCAGGCGAAGCTGCTGGAGCTGCAGGGGCCAGTGATGCAGCTTGTGATTGACCACGAGGTCCAGCACCCTGCTAATGAGCCCACTCCAGGGGCCACAGCCCCCCAGGAGCTTGGTGCTGCTGACAAGGATGGTGAGTAGAGCCCTCAGATGGGGTGGGCAGGCAGAAGCAGGGGAGGCCTGACGATGGGGTGGGCAGGCAGAAGCAGGGGAGGCCGGCACTGGGCTCAGATCCCCACCTCCCTCTCTCCAGAGAATTTTATGAGGTGAGCCTGGACAATGACAGCGACAGCCTGGAGCTTGCAGGAGGGAGGGTACACCACAACTTCACTGCACAGCAGGTAGCACATGGATTTGTGAGCTGTGGGACGGCCAGCAATACTGACCCTTGGGCAGCAGTCCCTCCACGCCATGCTTTTACCAGGCTGTGGGCGAAGTAGCGGGTAAACATCAGCATCAGCTAAGAGCTGGCCAAGAAATTTACAAACGAACAAAGTTATAGGGTTAGTCTTCTACACGTTTACTTCATTTGAATGTTGGAGTTACTCATGATTTGTGTTTCTAATTTATAGTTTATTTGTAGAAAGTTAAAGGAGTGAGGGTCTTCGTATGGCTTTCACTGATGTTGACTCTGGCATTTTTAAAAATTTTTCATTTTTAATTTGATAATCGTAGGTCATTAGCATGCCTATCAAGTTTGCCCTTATGTGGTGGGAGTTCAAACACACAAAGACCCACTATTGGCACAAAACTATTCTTGCTAGTTTTGGAATAGGCTGCCATGGTTTTTTAATGTTATTGTAGCATGTATATTCATTATGGAATTCAGATACAATTTGCTTATGTTCTGCTATGATATTTGATCAAATCCTATTTACAGTGAGCTCTTAATTAGCTCAATATGTGCTTTGCCCTCACGTGCACACTGTTTATTACTTTGTAAGATGCCACTGTGAGTACTGACATTTAGAGTTGTTGAAAGGCCGAGAACTGGAAACAGCCTTTCTTCCATGTTCTGTGTATTGCAAATGGGAGTAATAACATTTTTGGGAGCTTTTAAAATCTCACAGAAGAGGAAAGCGGCCTGCTCTGGCTGGTATGTGCAGAATAGAGTAGTTCATTGGTTCCTGTGCCAAGAATGAGCGCTGCACTATGGTAGTTCTTTTAGGGTTTTTCTGTGCTCTGGATTCATGAAGATACTGCATCATCAGCTGCAGCAGCTGTACTCTTTTTTATGACCTAAAAAGATTTCTGAGGAATAAAAGGCTCCCATCTTTGATGGTGGATGTGGAAAACCTTTCCTAGCTTAGAGCATTTATGTCTATAATACATTGTAAAGTCAGAGCTCATGTTACCTGTTTTAATCACATGACTCTAAGTCTCAGTACACAAAAGGGCACTGGTTGGCATTCTTAATGTATTTAGTAAAGGTCATAAGAAATTCTTTAAGATAAAGTGTAATGTATGTATGTGTGTATATAATATATATATATATGAATGGAAATTTTTATCTTAGAATGGGTAGGCACTAAATACTGATGAATGAATAGTTAATGTTTTAGGACATTTGGTATAGTGCCTTGCATACAGAAAGAGACCACAGATGAGATTATCCTTTTGTATCATTTCACAGTTTTAAAAATTCCTATTGATTACAGTTCACGTAGCAAATTGCTGATAAAATGTCCGTTTTTATAAACCATCTCCAGTGACAACAAAAAAAAGAAATTCTTAAAAATTTAAATGTTTAGAAAATAAAAATTTTAATAAAAAATTTTAAAAAGTTTAAATGTCCCTGGATCAGGCATACAGGTTGTAGTCAAGAATGAACTAGAGTGCAGGAAAGCCGTGTGACACCTGGCGTCCCTCTGTGTTCATGGAGCTTCTTTGAGGCTAGATTGATTTGACCGTCCAGACTTCTCTGGCTAATAATACCTATTCTTCAACCACCTTGGTTACTCTGACATAGGAATTGCCTTCTTTTTCTTGAATAGAAAGGACTTTAAACAATAATCCCAAACAAATAACAATCAAAAACATTATTATAAACTAGTACATGTGAGAGTACTTGGCTGAAACAAAAAGGAGTTTCAGTAGACAGAACTGTACTATATTTGACAATCAAGAAGTTTGTGCAATTTAAAATGTTTATAGCCTGCAGTGCCATCTACTGTTTGCAAACGTCAAAGTATTATCAGCAGAAGTGTCTGTACAATCGCAGTTTTATTTCCTCACCAAGATCTCTACCAAGAGTGAAATATGTTTTTATACCTTTCAGTTTCAGTTAGTGGCATATTTTGTGCAAGATTTATGTTAATATGCCTCTGCATTATGAATGAATTCTTTCAGTCAGACATTGCCTAAAGCATAACTTTGTGATGCCTGATGATACTTTCATAAATATGACATTAATAGGAGAGCACTCATACAATTTGACAGATGGAATAACACATTTGCCTGCATTCCCTGAAAGAGTGCAAACATTGGGTCCTGGTGACTTGAACTGACTCTTCCAAATTGTAGTTATTTATTAATGTATCAGATAAACCCAGTTTCAGAACAATCAAGGAGAAACGTTAGACCAAATAATGCGGCTAATTAACAGTGGTATGATTTCTAGCCGGGGGCTTAAAATGGACTTAAAGTTCATTTCTTGTGTTTTGTTCTCTGAACTTGCTGCTTTTGCATTCTTGGAGTTCAGTTTAAAGACAGTTACTCTAAGTCCATTTTCAACCCTCGGGCTAGAAATTGTACCACTGTTAATCAGCCACATTATTTGGTCGAACAGTTTTTCTTATTCATTCTGAAACTGGGTTTATCTAATACATTGATAAATTATTTCAAAGGGATTTTGATAGTTCAAATCACTTCACTTTTACCCTAAGAAATACTGACTAGGAATGACCTTCAGATAGTGTTTAGCATCTGTACCCAATCTGATGATAACGTGTTCATCAGGTACCTGTGGAGTAAATCCCATACAGGCATGTTTAAACTGAATGGCAGTCTGGAAAATACATTTACTATATTAACCGAAATATCACTCTGTATAGGTATTTTGTCATCTATTTAAGAAAAATCTAAAAGAATGGAAATCACGACAGTGACTTAAGTCTTTCTTCAAAGTGCACGCGACTCTTCTGCAGTACTTCATTCAGCTAAGTGTCTGTTCTCTTCCTCATTCAGTAGAAGGCAGCTTTCAATTTGCTTAGAAGGCAACATCAGGTTAGTGTTCATCAAAAACACAGAATTTAATTTTCTTATATTTGTGTGTGTTTATTTTAGATAACTGAAACTTCACAGACTTTAACAGCAAATAATGTTTAAAAAATTCAGTTCTGTACATTAGCTCCAACTATCTCTATTTTACAACCTGTGAGGCTCATGCCATAGTTCAGCACCAACAAGATCCACACAAACCTGTTTAAGCATCTTCTTATCCATCCCATGCCATAGTTTCTGTGTGTTTTTATTGTTTTTTAAGGTAAAAGTCCTGCTTTCAGAACTTGAAGTGGAATCCCTCTAGTCAGACTACAAAACTTGGGTTGTACCTTCTTATTTTCATTGAACAGACACACACACAAAAAACAAAAAGAATTGTTTTACCATTGATTTAGATTGTCAGTCTATATGTTGAATTTATAACACTGAAGTGTCAGAAGTAACCTAATAGTGCCCTGCCCCTATTCTTCCCCTCCATTTTAAATTTGTAAAAAGGCAGCCAGAAAAATGTTTCATTTATTCTTTAAAATAAGGTGCAAAAAAGGATTACAACAACAAACTTCCTCATCCACACCTCCAATAACATTTCACTATTTAGCATCATCTACCATGAACTGATTCAGGGGCTCACCTAGAGCTATATTCGCAGCTCCAGAAGGTACCTTGTTTGCTATACCAGAGGCCTGCTCAGTGGCAGCGTCTCTCTGTTCAGAGGTCAGTACAATAAAACAATTTTCAAATGTGGGTTCAACTGAATAAATTTGAATTTCTGTAGGAAGAATCAAAATGCCTATTTAAAGGTTGCAAATATATGATGATCATTTTTAAAGGATTTTATCAAACCTGATAGGTTTTTCAGAAATGAATAAAAATCAGTTCTGGAACCAAAGCTGATTTTAAGAAAATTTGAAATGTAAATTGTTCCTATCCTATCCATAATATAGCTTCTCCAAAACTTTATCTTATAGAGTCATTTTAAAATAACTATTAAAACATGTAACTGCTATCTTATTGTTTTGAAATTATTTAAGACATTTTAAAATATGAATATCATAGTTTAAAAAAAACCAGGAGAAAAAAAGTAGAGAAAGAAATGCCAATTCCAGTCCAAAGCTTTAGTTGCCAGGTTTCCTAAGAATGACTTTTACCACTGTATGAACTCCTGTGAACAGAATGTAAGATGGAAATCCTGAGCCTTTTGTCTAAAGCAGCAATATTGACTGCTGCTGTGATGCTCCTGTGATGTAATTAATTATTCAGTTGCTGCAAAGCGCTGTTTTGCCTTAAAATTTTGTGCATGTTGACAACTGTGGTATTAAAGGTACTGAGACTCTGCAAATGCTGGGCACACTTGGCATGAGATAATCTTTTTATTTTTATAAAATTGTCATAGCAATGCAAGTGTGTTTATTAAAAGAACACAAACTAATAAAAGTTACGGGATTAAAAGTTATGGGATTAAAAAATGTGGAAAGATTGTGGTAAAAAAAAGTGGATAAAAAGTAGAAGAATTTTATGAAAAGTATAAAATTTATGAAAAGAAAGTTATGAGATTTCAAAAAAACATCATGGAGATAAATATAAAAATAAATACAAGCAGGCCCTGTCAGCAGGGCCTGGAGAAGGGGGCTGGAGTCTCTGCCCCCACCATGTCCCTCCCACCCCTTCCCAGTCACCCTTTTATTATTAGCGTAGCAAGAGAAGACCCCTGTCTAATGGGAGGAGACAAACAGACCCTTTGCCACCTTGACCAGGGCTGAGTCCTTAAATCTCTGGATGATGATGGTTGTTACTTAGGAGCCAGAGGCTGCTAGAGTTGGTGGGTTTGGAGGAGGCCTGATGGCCTCCTTCCTCCACCAAAGCAACTTTTCCCTCAGTGGGCTCCCATCTTCTTATTCAGAGAGGCAGCTGAGGCAGGACAGTGGCGCTAACTGTGGACCAGGTGAGGGCACAGGCTGCTGGGGTGGCCCCCCTTCCCCAGTGTACATATTGTATCTGTGTAACATGTTGTATATTCCGGGGGGTATGGGCACCCCTCGTTTTGTACCTAGCAGAGGTAGGAGCTGGCACATGGGGAGGAGGATTTAATAATTATTTGCGGCTGGGAAACTTATTTATTGATAGCAGAGGACAGGAAGGAGGTGGGGATGGGGTCGTGGCTCCGTGGTGATTCAACTTCTGTTTATTTTGCTTTTTATTTTGGAATAAATGGATTTAGTCACACTGCTCAGCCTGGTGTATTCCCGTTTCCCTCACTGGGTCCTGGAGTTTGTGCCACTGAACGAGGAGCCCCAGTGTCTGAGCATGTCCAGTGGGGCTGTTGGGGACCTTCCAGGCCTGTTACCTGTGTGCTGGCTGGTGACACCTGGGGGATTTCCTGGGGACTGCCATGGCACATCCGGCCCTGACAGCCAGCAGGCTCAGAAGCCTGATCTAGTGGTGGTCGGGAAGGCAGGTACCAGCACCTAAGGGCACTGACTTCCATCCACCCCAGGCTTATTTCATTCATCCCCCTGCCTCCCTCTCCTGTCTGCGCTTGGTGGCCTGTTCTGTCTGCCCCTTCAGAGTGCTGGCTGCCTCGCAGGCTCCCTCCAGGCTGAGTTCATGGCCCTGCCCCCTAGTGACCAGAGCCGGCATCCCGGGATAAGACCAGCTAAGCTCCAGGAACAGTTTCCCTTGGAAAGGGTGGGGCCTTTTCACTGCTCCCAACAGCACCCCAGAAATGGCTTGGCCTTTTCCCTCCCCTGAACTCCACAGAGAACACAATCCACAGAGGACGCATTCTTTGTCATCTAGAAATGAGTTTGACTCTCAGCTGAGGTACAGCAGGACTGGTAGAGACTGTAAGGTCTCAGGGCTGCCCGCACAGCACCCCCATGCTTGGCAGAGGTGGGAGGGATGGCGGGGCCTGGGTGACAAGGAGGCTCACTGGAGGTGGCGCACTTTGGAGGGACAATGTCAGGGAACAGCTTTCTCTTGTTGGGCCACAAGACTCCACAAGGGCAGCACGGTGACTGATGCCCAGTGCCAGAGGCGGGGCAGTCGGCCACGTGTAGTTGTGAATATATATGAGTATTTATAGATATTTCTAGAACAGGGCAGGGGCATGCCACAGAGGGCCATGGTCACACCTGGATGTGTCAGCTCACCACTGCAGCGGACTAAGGTACAGATGAAGGGGGCTGCCTTTGGGGCTGGGGAATCACAGAGCAGCCGCCCAGGCAGGCATCGCACCACATGGTAGAGCGGGAGCTGGCTTTGAGGCTCTGGCTGCTGAGTGGCTGCAGGGACCCTGCCAGAGGCAAAAGAGACTATCAGCCTTTGGGATCCAGGCCCAGGCCTGTGGCTGCAGAGAGACGGCATCACCCTGGTGTGCGACCTTCAGCTCCTCCCGGGCTTCCAGCAGCCAGGAACACCCACGGTCAACACACGTACCTGGGCAGACGGTGAGGGTCCGGCTGCCCTCCAGCGAGAGGACTGCTTCTGGGCTGTACCTTGGAAGAAGTGTCCGGAGGAAGCGTGCTCGCCGTCGGAGAGGCCACAGCGGAAGCCTTCGTCCAGGGCTCCTGGGGACGAGGGCATTGGGTCCGCTGGCCCGAGCTGGCTCCCCACCTCAGGGCTCCCCCGTGAGCAGCAGGAACCCAGGGCCAGACCCTCAGCACCCACCTCTGTGTGAGAACAGCACGAGCCGGCCATCCAGCTGGGCCTGTGTGAAGCTGCGCACCTCAGTGCCCGGCGCCACCTGCAGCACCACCCGCCCATTGCTGGGCTGCTCGATGGTGTAGACGAGGTCCTCAGGCCTGGAGTCGCCGTCCATACTTCTCAGAGCCTCCACAGGGATGGGTGCCACGGCCCTCTCCCACCTCTGGGGACACGGGCCTGTGAAGGTCCTGCCCTGCCATGCTCACCCACTTCTTCCTCCCCGGCCTGCGTGGCCACCAGGGCTCCAACCCCACTGCAGCTCAGACCTCAGCTGGCATCGCAGCCGGCACCACTCTGGCTCCCCTGCGCAAAGGGCCCTCCCTGCATTCACCTTCCCTGTCACCCCAGGGAAGGCCACCCTCCAGGCCCAGCCTCCCTGTTCTCCATCTGCCCTAGTCCCACATGTCCCTCAAGGCCAGCTTGTGTCCCCTGCCCAGGAAGGCCCCAGCTCTTACCCTCACCAAGTTCTCATCCCCAGAAACCCCGACCCTGACCAACAGTGCTCCTAATTTGCTTCACTGATGGGGCAGGGGTCTCCTTTCAGGCCCTCCATGTGTGTCTGGCAGGGGCTGGGCACGGTGGGAATGGTGATTTTGGAAATGGGCCCTCCTTCCAGCTGAGGGAGGGCTGGGACGCTAAGAGAGTGAGTGGGCTGATGACTGGCAGTGTCCTGCAGCACAGAAGCAGCGCTGGGACGGGCCAGGTGCTTCCAGAGTAGTTCCGGGCCCTGCTCATGCTGGGCTAAGGGGAATCCTCTTCAGGCCTCCCACGTGCAAGCAGAGCAGTGCCGGTTCCTGAGGTCCTGAGGTCTGGTCTTGCTGGGCCAATACCTCATGGCCTCAAGTCATCCTGCCCTGGCCTCCCAAAGTGGGATCATGTGATTGAGCCACCATGCTCAGCCCATGTGACAAATTAATGGCCCATCTCTAAATACAGGTTTAGGTTCTGTGTGTGACGGGGACCAGGGCTCAGTGGGTGACTAGGGTCAGAGCTTGTCTGGGGTGAGGTGGTTTACTTCTTTTTTTTTGAGATAGAGTCACTCTGTCACCAGGCTGAAGTACAGTGGTGCGACCTCAACTCACTGCAACCTCCCAGTTTCAAGTGATTCTCCTGCCTCAGCTTCCTGAGTAGCTGGGACTACAGGCATGGGCCACCATGCCCAGCTAATTTTTGTATTTTTAGTAGAGATGGGGTTTCACCATGTTGGCCAGGATGGTCTCAATCTCTTGATCTTGTGATCCGCCTGGCTCGGCCTCTTAAAGTGCTGGGATTACAGGTGTGAGCCACCGTGCCCGGCCAGTGCTTTACTTTTATTAGGACTACACCCTGTTTTTGCCTTTATGGCTCAGTCTAAGACAGACCTTCAGCCTGGCCCCAGCTGCCACCAGACAGGGGCAGGATTGAAACCGAGCTGTAAAGTTGAGACTCACTCGTGGGGTAGGTTTATGGTACCAAGGGAAGGGGAGAAGGAGGATGGAGGGTTCAGAAGGAACATTTGGGGGATGAAGATGTTCAGATGAAGATGGCCTCGCCCACAAAGCGATGCCAACTCCAGGGAAGATGAACGGGCCTCCCTTGTGCCTCTGCCTGCAGAATGACAGGGTCATTAGCCTGGGCTCGACCTTTGGATGAAGTGGTCCCAGCCCTTGGCCTTGTCTTGCCTGTGGTAGCCCCCCCGGAGGGGTGACCTGCACAAGGTCAGGAGTGGCCTCCCAGCTTTGGCTGAGTGCTGACGCTGCCCCTTCTGAACAACTCCGGGGGTCCTAGCTTGACCTTGCAGGAAGCCCTGGTTTGATCCTTGCAGGACTTGAATCCAAATCTTCAGGTCGTTAGGCCCAGGAGCTGGCACCTGATCACACACAAAGCCCCCATCCATCCATTCATTGAACAAACATTTGCTAAGCTCCTGCCCTGTGCCAGGCCTGGGGGGGTATGTAGAATCGGTCTTTTTCTGGAGCCCTGGCCTCCAGGAGGTAGGAGGCTGTGTGAGCGAGAGGGTGGGAATTCGCCCTCTCCGGCCACGAGCCGATGCTGGAAGCTGGATGAGGCTCGGAACCTAGCAGGAGGCCCATCTGAGGTTCTGCCCTTCTCTCCAGGGGCAAGACAGGCCTGACTCCATGTTGGGTTACCTCGGCCAGACCTTGCTGGTAACAATGCAGTCCCACCAGCATCCCAACACTGGCTGGAGTGGGGACTGGTCTCAGTTCTATTGCTGGAGGGAACCCCAAGGCCAATCACGATTCTGGCTTTCAGGACCTGGGGTAATAATGACCCTGGGTCAGGAGCAGATTAAGGGCCCTGCCTGCAGGTACAAGGGGGGCACACCATACGGAGGCACAGAGGTAGGGGGCGCACGTGTCCATTACACGTGTCGCAAGACACACACACAAATGCGCAGACCCACAGCTTACTCTACACACACGCCTGGTACCACCGCCTTCAAACACATGCCTCATGCCACAGTCACAGGGAAAACGCAGACTCGACCCAAGCGTGTACCGCGCATGCGCACAAGCCCTGGGGGCGCTGAGGTGAAAGACAGGTCTCCGCTCTCATGGGGCATAAACTCTACCGGAAACAAAGCGGTGGCTTCTGTGATCAGCACTCATATCCACTGAGGTTCAGAAAGGGTGGGTGACCTGCCCGAGGACACACAGCGGGAGGTGAGGGGACCGGGATCCCAGCCAGGACCGTGTGATCGCCGTCTCCTTTCACACCGCCTCGGCCGGGCAGACTTGGCTCCCGCGGGGCCTTGAGCAAGTGCTCCCCTCTCTGGGCCATCAGTTTCCCCATCTGGAAAGCGGCCAGCATGCTGGCGCCCTGCAGGGCTTCGGGGAGCATCGCATGTCTGGATGTGAAGGACGTTCAGCTCTGGCTCTAGGGCGAGCGGGCTGGGAGTGGAGGAGCAAAGACCACCGCGTGCTGGGGAGGGACTGGCCGCAGGGAAAGCAGGCCCGACCGCAGCTTCGCTCCCTGCTGCCGCCCCGTGGCAATAATTGGGTACTGCCGAGGGTGGGTCTGCACCGCCTTCTTCCGCTTGCGCAAGCCCCTGGGCAGAAAGGCGCCTTGAGGGAGTGTTGTCTGGTCCTCCCTGGCCCCATTTTTCGGATGCCCAGAGAAGGGAGGAACTCCTCCTCAGGTCATCCAGGGCAGAAGCTTGGGCTGGGCTGGGAATGCCTTTCAGACTAGGGTGCTTCCCTCCAGCCCTGCGGTACTCAAAAAGCCCCCAGTCAGCTTCAGAGCAAGAGGGACAGAGTTCTGCATCCTCTGCTTGATGCCACCACCTCCAGGGAGGCTTCCAGGGTCTCCTCCAGTAGGAAGTAGTCTCATTCCTGCCCTGCAGTCCCACACTCGAACTCTCCTTGCTCCTGCCCCCACCAACCTTGACTTTTCTTCTGCCCACAGCAAATCAGGGACAGGGCCCCGTGAGGCACGCGGGATGGTGGAGAACCATGGTCACCACCCAGGGAGCATGTGCCAGGGGCCCACTCTGTGCTGCGGCTCTGCCTGCATCTTCTCACTTGAACC